TGCAAGCGTTTCTTTGAAGTTCGGAAACTGAAAAACATGCAGCTGAAGATTTCTGTTTACGCTACTCGCGATCACAAGCATCGGGCACACAAAAAGGTTAGACACAGCTATACTGAATGTGCAAAATGACCTTCCTTTGTCGTGCACTTTCATATAAATATGGCACATCACAATTTGCTGCCTTTCACATCACAATTTGCTGCATTTCACTCTAAGCACAGCACAGGCCCTAAGCAAAACAACACAAACTGACCACAACCTGTGCTCAGGCGCCATTGTATAACGGCGATGACAATGCATCTAACTCATCCTAGTGCCGTATATGTGGTTTACGTTTCATGTGACTATAATATACAGACAATCTTTCCATTTTCACTTTTACTTGTTTTCTTTTCGGCGCCTTTCTTTGGCATTTTCCCCTCTAGCCAAGCTCTTGTGTTCATCTGTTCTCTACCGTACTCCTGTTGTGGAACCAAAGGATTCGAGGGGAATACAAAACGACGAACTCCTTTTGTTTTTTGTTTTTTATTATTGATGAAGCTGGCCCTTTCTCCACCTACAGGCTAGGTGAAGAAAAGATGCAGCCAACTAGGATGCAGCCGCCGCTGCATCCTAGTTGGAACGGGAGATGGTCATCAACTTTACAGACTACGTCTCCGGTGAGGCTTTAAAATTTTACATCACCCACATATCTCAAAATGACGAGTCATAGAAAAAGATTAAAGAAGAAATTACCATATGATTTCTAGAATACAATGACGACTATGATGAAGACTCGCTTATAACCAACCATCCACAGGCAATCGCACTCAGTTGTCAATATCACAAGCAGTCTTCAAGCTTTCCGAACGCCCAGCATGAATCGACCACTGCCACAACACCAAGTGGAACATGAGTTTACTTACAGAAGACCATGCATATTTCTGGAAAAACCTAACTATCGAGAGCGCCTCCCTTTTGCACGAAAGTCGGCATTTCCAAAGTCCTCACTCCAGCATATGACATGAGACATGGCTCACCCACCTGATGCCCTTCATTTTTCGTCTCGCGTACGTAGTACACCGCGCCGTTTTGCATCACGCAGCTAATACAAGCGCTTCTATCGCTCTCCAGTTGCCTCATAAGGACGCCGCGATCACGGTAGATAACCTGACGGTTCCTGAAAATACCCTGTCAAGCCATGCTCCTTCCGGACGGGTTCATGCATCACCGTCTGGTGCACACCTACTAGACAGTCGAAGCAAAGCAGAAGGCTCAGACCCAACGAACATCGCATGCTGCCAAGCGCAAGAGCCCTTCGTAGTGAACAGTACAGAAGATGCCTCTGAAAAGCTTTCTATCAACTCTGAAGCATTATATTCTCTGCCCGAACAGAATGACAACAGCCCACAGACTACCAGCTGCCGACTGGACACCACACCAAGTTCTCAAGAAAACCGGCATGATGTTCAAGAAACACTTCCACCTCAGCACATTCCGATTCAGCAGCAGCAAAGCCAGCAAAAGCGAGTCCAAGGATTCCAGACACTCCAACGGATACACTAACAAGGACGACGATGCAAAGCGGGCCTCTTAAAGCAAACTCAAGACGTGAGGCATATACGCATAAGGTATCGGCGCCAAAAACGCATTGAGCACAAGAGATCAAGACTGCGACTACGATTACAGCTTCGAAACCACATAAAACAACGAAAAAGACGAGAAGGCACCATCTGTCCAACGCAGAGACCAAAGCACTATTCCATGAGCCGCGGCCACCGCACACGCAAACTGGAAGCACACCGTCTGTTCCCGCCACGACACACAATTCGTCGCCTTCGACATCCGAACTTCAAGTACTACAGGGACTCCCAACCTTGTCCGTTCCTCACAAGAACTCAATCCATGTCATCACCAGTGCAGATCTCCAGGGTGTGGTTATGCCATCCAGGACGCAACAGCCAGCCTCGTCCACCAGAGTTTCCTTAAATATGGCCGGACTGCTTCCCTCTGCTGTGGATTTGTTTGTGTGAGTTGAAGAACTCCCTTCTGAAATGAAACTACGGTGCATTTTGACATTTTTCGCTTTAACACTGCGTTTTTGCAGTTTTGTTGGTTGTCTGACACGACTTCTTCCAGGGGGAGGGGAAATCCTGTGATGTAGGAAAGCAGTGACTGATGGTAGAGACAGGTGAAGAGGAAATGAGAATGGAATAAAACATGGCGTTTGAGCTGGGCCACGTCTCCCAGTCATCGTAGCGTCACATATAATTATCTCGTAGTGATTGCATTTATTCATCATGCTGCATAGCACTCCAAAGTATTGTGCAGCATTTTGTAAGAAAAGGGCACCACGAGTGCAAGGTTGCACACGTGAAAAGTGCCGGCACTGGCAAGAATGCCCGCACGGCATCACCACATCTCGAACCGGAAGTCGGTGAAGACAGACACCATACCCAACAATCCATTGTGTGAGCCACGATTTTGCTATCCACCTACAGTCGAATCTCGATAATTCGAACTCGAATAAACAGAAGGCTCTCCATGCAGTGGCCCATGTGCATTGAGCTAACACACAAGGGGGAAGTTTCAGAAGACTTACATTTATTTACAAATCCCAGTACATCCGTCATTAATTGAAGTAAATCGGTGATGCACGCCTGCACACGTTTGCCTTGCAGCTAGTCAATCAAGTTAGCACGCAGCTTGCAAAGCGTGTCTACTTCGGCTTCAGCATTCTCCTGGCAAGAGAAGTTGAGCGCAGCAATGTTCAGCGCCGACACTCGAAGACGACAACGACGACTGCATTGCCGCTACTATCCTCTGCGCTAAAGCCGCAGCATTGCCAGCACGTTACAAGAAAGGGGGAGTGTCTCTACGCGGAGAGAAGCAGATCGGCATTTCAGATAAACCAACACTCCACGGCAGCTTTTTCTTTTTAAAGACGATAGTCTTTCTTGGAGACCTTAGACACAAAAATTTTGGTCTGTCTGTCTCTCTGTCTGTACATTTGTCTGTCCACTCTTACCGGCATCGGGTACTTGAAACGGCCGACCCCATCCGCAGCGACCATCAATGTTGCTCACGGTTGAGCGTTCATGCTTGTGCAATTGCTAATTAAAAAGCAATTATTGCACATGTCTGGGACACCATAACAACACGCATATATTTTGCATATGCATCTCTTACTAGAAAATGCATACAAAAGTTATTTTAAGCACCGTAGCGCTTATCAAGCTGCGCTTACCATGCAACGCTTGCACGGAACGGGGAGCGTTTCCAACGCTTTGCTAAGACAAGATGATGGTGGCACCTACCCGTCGCCTCGCGTTCTAGAGCTTATCACCTCCGAGACGGGCGCGCACGGCCACGCGCTTTGTTTTCTAAAAGAAACTGCCAGATGGCGCTCATGTCTCACGTGCGACATGACGATGCGCTCGTTCGCCTTCGCTGCACCCTCGAGGCACTCTAACGCAGCTCCTCCGAAATACCATTCACCGATTTTCTTGCGCAGAACATGAAATAAATGTTTTGTTCACTCTCTCCACACGCAAGAGTATCGTCTTTCGACAACATTTGCAGATTACATGCAGATACGGGCCATTTTTTTTTTTTTGCTCTCTTAGCGCGCCTCCTTAAAAGGAGAAGGATTAACTGGCTGGGGCTGGGATGGGAAAGGGGAAGCGTGGCACCGGCGCATGAGAGAGAACCACACTCTGCGACAGCTTTTTTTTTCCTCTCTCTTTTTGTGCGTGGTGTTGGAAGGAGAAGAGTCTTTACGTGGCAGGGGTGGAAAAGGGAGAAGCGTGCACAGGCGCGTCGCAAATCGGCATCGTTCAGGTGTCAGAGGTGCTGCCGCAGGATTGGGCGGGGTGCTGAGAGCATTTTCGAAGCGCAGTATGTTCGAATTAACCGTAAAAAGTGCTTGCGCGTTCAAATTACTGGGCATTTTCGCCCATTGAAATACACATAGCTTTGACGGGACTTCATTGTGAGTTCGAATTAAGTGTGTTCAAATTAATGAGATTCGACTGATTTAACTTTTGACTTGCTTTGAGTCTTTGCGCCAGGACGTCCCCCCCCCCATTTCGTTTTCTTTTGTTTGCCTAAATGCCTGCATCGTTGCGCTAAATCTCCATCATTGTTAGTCGCTGCGAAAGTTCGTCCTAACAGTAGAGGCCTATTACGTGATTCGTCTTAAGCAGACTTTTTTCTTTAATTGAGCCTATGAGAAACCAAACACACCTGTGTTGTTCGTTTTAAGCAAAAATCTGTTGCTCAATTGATTGATTGACTGATATGTGGGGTTTAACATCCCAAAACCACCATAAGATTATGAGAGATGCCATAGTGGAAGGCCCCCCAAATTTCGACCACCTGGAGTTCTTTAACGTGCACCTAAACCTGAGCACATGGGCCAACAGCATTTTCACCTCCATCGGAAATGCAGCCACCGCAGCCGGGAAGCAAGAATTCGTTTTAACAAAGTTCATCTTAACAGAAGTTTACTGCACAACAATGGCATTTTTGTGGCATTTTTAGCATTATTATTAGTGGGTTCGACTGAACATTCCAAAATACAAGCAAGGCTTTGCAGTGTAATAGTAAAAAAATCACTGAAAAAAAAAGAAAAATCGGAAGGCACTGTTTCATATTCTCTGCAAAACTGCTTAGAACATAAAATGGAAAAACAAAGGACCGCAGTCAACATAGCACCAACACGACTGCATCACATGCACTTAAATAAAGTGGCAAATTAAGCTTACTAGATTAGTATTACAGGACTACTTCATGAGCATTGCAGAAGTGACACATTCTATCACACCTATGTCATCAGATCCAACCTAGGAACTCGTTAGAACTCGACACACGCGGACAATTCGGAAGAGTGAAAATACAGCACATGCCACTGAAAACGGCATGCTGCACCCCCTAGGTGGCCATGCAAGCTGTTTGCGATTAGCAGGCACAGCATCTCCTCGCACAGTTTCAGCGTGCCAAATCATTAGGCAGTTACTCACCGGTGCAGCAAGATGAATGGCACGCACTACACGCCCGCTGACCGGCTGACACACGCACAGTAGTGGTCCCCCTGAACCACCACTCAAGGCGACCACCAGGTAGGTGGAACGGCCTCGCACCAGCTCCACAAACGGCCCGACGAGTGGCCGCTCCTGCCGCCCCACTTGGAGTTCCATGTAGGGTTGGCCCGTCTGAATGTCGTAGCCACGCAGCAGCGAGCCACAACTCAGCATTGCCTCTTTGCCACCTGCATAAGCACACAGAAACGAGCACCAATGCAATGAAATGAATTCCACACAATACACAAGTCTTGTAGCGATGCAAGTGAAAGAGCAAGCTAAAATAGACTGAAAACAACCATACAGTCTAAAATATGTGATAGAAAAGCAATTGCGCATTTACACAAGAATTTAGGACATAAGTTCTGTAATAAGGAAGCTGCGGAGTTTAGCAAAGCTCGCTTCAGCCGGTTCTGGTTAGCCGTTTGGCCTTCCCACTTTTCTCGGCAGCAAAGAGGGGTAGCCATAGTAATTTTGTTGTACCTACGCCTCCTTTGGCAACATAAGACATCAGTGATTACACTATCAGCACAGAGCTAACAACCGAGAGCAAGGCTCCTCAACATGTTACTCAGAGCAATGCTAGAGTTTTCACCTTTAGGTGAAACGAATTCGCATGCAGTAACTATGCAATGCGGTGGAGAAGTGCAGTGAAAGGTATGCGAATCCGGCGAAGCTAACAAGTATGTCGCAGCATGCACACTCTTCACCTAGCGGTAAACTCACAAGACACTCCTTAAATCTCCGAGGCTTTCATTTTGGCAACACCACTTGTCTCTGTAATCTCTGGTTTATAGAAGTGGCGGAGAGCAGCATAGGAAAATGAAAATGCAGACTACAACAACCAAAACTGCATCACCACAGGGCAAAGGCACTGTTTCGTAGTGCAAAGGACCAACTGATGAAGTTGGTGCTATGTAAATATTGGGCCACAGCCAAGTAACATCTACGCAGCGTGCAGCGCAGTCCTTCACAAAATGTGGTCACAGTGCCTTTTTGCAGTATTTAGTGAGCTTGTTAAAAAGGTGTAAAAATGTTGCGACTTGTTTACTGGTCCTTTAAGCACCAGTGACATGAAAGGACAGTGATCAAGTCACAGCCTACTAAACGGCCAGATTTTAGCCAGACTGTCGTGCTAAAGTCAGGCTTATCTCCAGGGGTAACTGGAAAACAGTGGCATTGTCCCGCATCACCTTCACCAGACAAATCATTGCTGAATCAAGATAGTGCATTCTAAAGTGGGTTAAATAGACTGACCACCAGGTGATATCTGCCAAGACCAGCAACAAGCACGGAATGTTTGAGAAAGCAAGCATGTGCTGGCAATGTACCCACAGTTTTGAATACGGGCATGCACCTCGCTAAGTGCTATTGTGAAGAAGTGTAGTACGGCATTGGCTCCTCTGGCTTAGCCTTGTACAACCGCAGTAGAAAACCAAACAATAAAGGGGTGATGCCATTGAATTCCGAGGCTAAAACAAGCCTCTTGCGAGTTTCCTCTGTATGCTAAGACAGTCCACACAAAGTCGAATACAGCAAACATTTAGAATATATAATTTAATTCACCTCCCAAGTGTACCTAAATGCTCATTCTCCCGACCGAAGCGCGTCCAGAGCTGCAGTAGCTCTATAGGAAGGCCAACGAAAGTACAGTGACGTCACACCAGATCTCTAGTGGGCATAAGCATGCACGGGTTTCCCCTCCAGGGGGAAGAAAGCGCACCGCACCCTCTCACTATTATGTCAATGCATGGGTCTGATTTTGCACCCCTTCCGCAAGTCGCGGCGCCCCTTCCCATTATGTCTATGTGTGGAGTTGTGTTTGTACAGCACCTCCTTATAGGTGACTACGAGAGTGACCGCCCCCTTACCCCCTTCCCGTGCGCACAGTTATTGTAGTGAGGGGAGTGACCTCAAGAGACCACCACCTATATACCTACCGACAAAGCATCACAGCTGCTACACGCTTGTTTTTCAGGTGTTTGTGCAGCACGTGTATGCAAAAAAGCCAGCGAGAACAGACTATAATCCGCCAGACGTGCGTCACAGCCTTGTGTGGCCACGTGGCCAAGCTACACTAGAACATCACAGCCCAATTCTGCACCCAGAAATGGTTCACATAAAAAAGGCGATATTAATTTCTTTTGCCAAAATAACCGGATCTTGGTGCATGTATCATGCTTCCTGGAGCCATAAGAAATGCCTGCAGCAAAAAACGTGCAAGCCACAAAAATGGTGGCACCACCCCTTTAAGCAGACAACCTTTGACAGAAACTGGAAGTTGGCATTTTATGTAATAGAAAACATTTTTTTTTCTGTGTTTTTTGAAGAATGTTGAGCATATTTGTATATTTACTGAACTTTAAACGAATAATGTGGCGTTATTTAGCTTGTATTTGCGATCATTGATGATCAATAATGATTGATCATCGAAGCCAGTGGCTGTGTTGTCACCATTTACGTTGTTGAATCCAATGATAAGACTAACTGCTTAAAAAAGAGAGTGATTTTTGGCTGTCATTAAAATGTTGACTGTGAAATTCAATGGCTTGTTTGGCACAGGATTTTACACTATAATGCTTGGCTTCTATGTTCATAAGAGCCTCAGCTGCCGATCGGCAGCATTTTCTGAACGTGTTAAAAAAATTGTTGAAGGGCTTGGAGTCATGATAGGGAAGCCACACTGCTTGCATGGTCCCCAACAATACAGGCACCCATACGTAACTCCAATGTCATAAACATGTATGCACATATGAGTCCATGTAATAAGCACAAGGGGAAAGGGGAGAGGAGCTCGAACATAAGTGGGACCTCTTTTTTTAGCAAAAGAAGGCATTTCAGACCTGTAAATAAGCATAGCATGCATGAAATTGTAGTCACAGTTGCTTTTATGTAAACCAGACACGCTGCTTTGTCAAGTGGAGAATACTGTCCGACCTTTCATTGCACTGTTGAGATTGTAAATGCACTTCAAAATTTCACATCATCAATCAAACATAGTGCAAAATCAAGATTTTTATCTTAATGTTAAATTTCATCTTAATGGTTGAGCCTAGGGATAACAGTAGTGGAAACCCATGAATAGGCCTGCCTTTGCTGGTGAGGATGCAAAGACCAGTATTCAACATTTAACACGCTTTTCGGGTGTATGAGACAAGTGCCAATTGATGATAAGACAGAAACGCTGCCTCACCTAAAATGAAAAACGCTTGACCACACACTGGTACACGATCACCCCCATTAAAGACTGCTACAGAATCCCATAACCATTCTTATTTCACAGGCATTCAGGTAGTGCTTGGAAAAGAAACGCTGCTGATCTTACATTGCTTGATGTGTCCTTTGACAGTGTTCTCCAAGTTCCCCTGTGCTGCACTGTTAACGAGCTCTGGGTAAAAGGGCACCAGGCCAGACACTTCTACGGCTGGCACCACTGACAGTGGCATGTTGCTGCAAACAAGGAACGGTCACGGTAATGCAAATGCAGTAGCACGCCAGAAAACACTTCAGGTCACACACCAAAGAGATTCGATCTCTTCCCAAACATACAAGAAGATGATCCCCGTGAAGCACAAATACCTTTCTTTTTGCCCTGAGGACATTTCATTCGTCTGAGACGAGCTCAACAAAGCCTAGAAATACTTGAAAGCAACATAAAAAAAAATGCCAGGCCTGTGCGAAAGGCGCAGCACAGTCACAGCGAAAGCTAGAAGAGCAGTCTTTCAGGGCCTTTTCTAAACATTCATTGGGTAACTACTGCAAGCACACTTGCTTGATATCCACTAGATAATTATTAAACAATTTATTTGGGTAGTAGGCAGGTATTCGCTATGCTACTTTTTGTCATTCTTCTGAAAAGCGTGGTACCTGCTAAACACTTGCAAAGAATCTCGCGTCAATTATTTATGCAGTGGCTGACGATGACGAGGAATTATGGCTAAAGTGGGTATGCACCAAAGTTAATAGGGGAACAAGAACAAGCTTTTGCGATCAGTAGGAGCATTGGACGGCCCACTTGTTACGCTATTTGCATTATGCAACAACTGGTTGTTGTTTCGCTGTTTCAAATTGCTTCATAAGTCGTATTCACGCGATTTCTTTCCCGACATCAATCCTGCCTAAGGCAAGTTTGACAACAAGTCACAAGCACGGGTGTAGCTCAATGGTAGAATACTGGGCTGGCCCTCAGAGGACCCAGGTTGAAGCCCCACTGTGTCATAGGTGCTAGGTTTTTTTTTTTTCTAATTTCGCGCGATGTGGTTACTGACACTGGCAGCAGCGGCGGACAACTACTCATGACCCGAGTTGTGATCTCATAACAGCTTTCACTGTAAAAAAACAAAGAATAGAGATAGGTTTCATAAAACAGCTGGTTTGGACAGAACTTAAAAAAAGATAGCAGGTGATAGCACTTTGAGCCTCTGTGAATCGTACAGACATTTTAAATTGCGATTTTCAAACACTTTCAACTAAAAATACAACCCGATGTGACAGCTACAGAAGAGCTGCCTAAACGTGCATGAAAAGTTGTGCTTACACAACACAACATTTATGTGAAAAAGCTATATGAAGCAGTTGGATTATTTTGAACCCACTATCACACTGCTTAATAAGAACAACGCACATTTTAAAACCTGCCCATTTCTCTTAGTTGTGTTTTTCCAGTAGCTCATTCTCCGACACTCTCACTAGACACTAACATCTTTTTGTGTCACTCGTAACTAATGAAGGTTTCATTTATTTTGCAATACCCACGAGACCAAAGGCATTGTGAATAGGGTAGAAATGTAACGCTACATTGCTGCAGGCACCCAGCGATATATACACAGAAGCATGACAGCCGTACTGCACATGAGAGCATTGTACGACAAACAGGGAACTAAGAATGCACTGCATCATTGACATGCCAGTAAGTAATGAGAAGATCCATTTCTGGCAAAGTGTTGCAGTTGACGATTGGTGGCACTGACGGGCAGCTTGGCACACGTTCTCGTGGCCTGTGAACTCTTGCGATTGAGTGTACACAGTCGTTTCTTATGAAAAGGAACATGCGAGCGCGTGGCCCATGCTTAGCGGCTGCTGCTTACAGCGCTGTAAACCATACGCTTTTGGCATCATTTATTAGCAAACTAAAAAGTCATGGCCGTTAGACAAGAGTTGCTAGGTTACTCTCGTGCTCGAATCACGCAACGGACAACGCTGCCGCAGAGCCCAGGCCCTGTGCTGGTGTGTTCCCTTTCATAAAGAACAACAGCGTACGTGTTAGATATTCACAAAACGTGTGTGTGTGTGTGTCACGGTCAGGCCCTCAAGAGCCTACAAAATATGCTGTCAAGCGTGAATGCACACAGAAAAATTAAAGCATGCTTTTTGAAAGCTACAGTTTCAGTTCCTACTGTACACTGAAATCGTAACACAATACGAGCTTCGTGGCAGTGTTTTCACAGCCACTCAACTCCGTGGCAACATTAGTTGAACACAAGTGGCTTTTTTTTGTACATTTTGGCACATAACTTAATATTACCAAGCCATTCCAATGTGTAAAGTCAACATTGTTGACACTGTAACCTGACGTCACACTAGTGTAGACGTAAACAGGTGTTCCTTTAGAAAACCGACTTTAATGTCAAAACAAAATGTCTGAGTTTTCCTGAATTTCCTCTAGCTAGTACGGTAGAGTAAACTTTGCTTGAAAAAGTGGTGTTAGTACTCCTTTATCAGACACATTTTTTTCCCATTTTGAAAGCATGTATGTTATGCCACTAGTAGCAAGTTCGGACGAAATTTTCATAGTGCCAAATGCTGTCTGCCCGAAACGAAAGAAATAACTGTCGAGATAAATTTCTAAAAACATATGCAGCCCACAAGGACAACTCTTTCTTAAGCTAACCAAGCGAAACCAATCACGCTTGCCATCAGCGCTGGATGAAAACACTCATCGGGCGTCGTCCTTCTACTCGCCCCTGGTACACTATAAATCTGTCATTGACGAACTAGACATCCGAACGTTTGTTAATGCAAAGTTGATTCAAGCGGTACACACTTCAGGAGCATACTGAAGCGGATAATTAAGGCTGGTGGGGCAGCCCGAAACCCACTGATAACTACAAAAATGCCGCTGAATTACAACAACGATACTATTCGCACGCAGGTTTATGTTTAGATCACGTCGCTCATGATACAGCGAATTTGGTTTCTGGCTTTTTTTTTTTATTTTCAAATTTTCAAGCATCTGTACCCGTGGATGCTCGACCTCAACCATGATCTAGCCTTGCCGCTTGGTTACCAAAAACTAGGCTCCTGCGAGAGGTTTGCAAGAGGCCAAGCATCGCAAATTTTGCCTGTTGTGTAGTGTATAGGGGGCGCTGTCAATGCTATCATCTGTATATAAGCGATTGCCATCAAAATAAAGGCAGTGGTTCCCCGTCCATGGATCGGTCCGACTTATCACTCGGCGCTTCGCGATACGGTGATAGCACATTCTGGCGCAGTCGGCGAAGCTAGCGAGCTAGCGACGAACCGTTTCCTGCCGTTTTAAGGGGCGTCGCCTACGAGATGGCAACGTACGGACTACCGCCATTACCGCCTTTTCTGGAGACTCCTGGAGATGCGACAATCCCATGGGAGCAGTGGCGCGATGATTTCACAAATTTCCTTGAAGCAACGGGGATGGACGCGCAACCGCCACCACGGAAAAAGGCCATTCTACTGCAATGTCTCGGGGTCGAGGGACGCCGTATTTTTCGCACACTGGGCCCAGAGCCGGCGCGGACGCCAGGCACGACAGAAGATAAGACGGAGGCAAGTGGAAGAGATAGTTACATCGAGGCGTTGGGCCTATTGGAGCGTCAGTTCTCAAGCACCGTCAACGTACTGGTAGAGCGACGTCGATTCACTTTACGTCGGCAACTGCCGAATGAGCCTATACGGGAGTTCGTCAGTAACCTCAGACAGTTAGCGAAGACGTGTGACTTCGGGGATTTCTTGGAGGCGGCTCTGCGAGACAGGGTTGTTGATGGAATACGGAGCACTGAGTTGCGACAGAAACTGCTCGTGAAGGGGTCCCAACTTACGCTGGCAGAGGCTGTAGAAATGCTGCAGACGTACGAGCAGGCAGCGGAGGGCGCTGCGGTCTATGACCAAGGGTCGCCACAAACGGACATAGTACAGCACGTATTCCAAGGCAGAGGCCCAGACGGCGACTCGACAGCGACGTCGGTGCGCAAGTGTTACCGGTGCGGCTCTACAAGGCACCTCGCTAATTCACAGGAATGTAAAGCACGGGGGAAACGTTGCTCCAAATGCCACAAGATGGGACATTTTCAAGCGGTCTGTGGCATGAGGAGGGAGCAGAACGTACGGACGGTCCGGAACGACGGCGCTAGCGAAGAAGGCGTGCTCACTGTGCTGGCGGTCAGACAAGTGGAACGACGGACTTTGGTAGTTGACGTCGTTGTTGAGAACGAGCCACTTCAGTTGCTGGTGGATACTGGGTCGTCGGTGTCTATTTTGCCCGACCACGTCTACCGAGACAAGTTCGCCAACAGGTTTCCTTTGACTGCGGCTACAGCGACGCTGCGTGATTTTTCACAGAAGAAAATTCCAGTCTTGGGATGGTTCACAGCCAGAGTTGTACGCGGGAAAAACTCGGCTTGCCTCCGCTTTTACGTTGTTCCCCAGGGCGTGGCATTACTGGACTAGACGCGGTGCACCAGCTACAGTTGAACATCATCGGTTCTACATTGGAATGTCTACAAGTCACGGCCAGCCCCCAGTCGCTCCCTTCTGAATTGTGTGAGTTTTCTTTTCTTTTCGCTGATAAGTTGGGCTTAGCGAAAAACTTTGTACATTCTGTAAAGCTGCGCGCAGACATAAAACCAGTAGCAGCGAAAGTTCGACGCTTGCCCCTGACGCTGCGAGATAAAGTAGCGGCTGAACTGACAAGATTATTGGATGCAGGCATTATAGAAAGGGTTAGCGCTGCGGAATGGGTGTCTCCTATAGTGGTTGTGCAGAAGAAAGATGGAACTATTCGCCTATGCGTCGATTTGCGCGAGCCAAACAAAGCAGTAGTCATTGATGGATTCCCTTTGCCGCACACGGAGGAACTGTTACATGCGCTGAGCGGAGCAGCATGGTTCTCGAAACTGGATCTTGCTGCAGCCTACCATCAAGTGGAATTAGCCGAAGAGAGTCGCGAAATAACGACGTTTATTACGCACGAAGGCTTATTTAGGTTCTGCAGAGTTTGTTTTGGCCTCGCATCGGCACCTGCCGCGTTTCAGCGAATGATGCAAGAAATATTGAAGGGCTGCAAGGGCGTGTTGTTTTATATCGACGACATTATAGTCTTTGGAAAGACTAAGCACGAGCACAACCGTAACCTTCGCGAGGTATTGCATCGGATCGCTGAGGCGGGGCTGCAGCTGAATCAGAAATGCTTATTCGCTGTCAAGGAACTCTCCTTTTTGGGTCATCACGTGAGTGCAAGAGGTCTGGCCCCACTTAAGTCAAAGGTGGATGCTGTGATGAAAGCACAAACGCCTGCCGATGTAGTCTCGCTGCGGTCTTTCCTTGGGCTCATAGGCTATTACTCTCATTTTCTCCCCAATTATGCAGAGGTGGTGGAGCCGCTGCGACGGCTTCTTCGTAAAGGACAGAAGTTCGTGTGGGACCAGAGCACCGAGGAGAGTTTTTGCAGGGTCAAGAAGATGCTGTCGTCATGTGGGGTGGTGGCCATGTTCAACGAGTCTTTGCCTGTACAAGTGACCACTGACGCCTCGGCATATGGACTGGGAGCTGTGCTACAGCAGGTAGTCGACGGAGAAGTACGTACAGTGGCATTCGCTTCGAGGACACTAACGCCACCAGAACGCAAGTACTCTACCGGGGAACGAGAGGCGCTGGCATGTTTATGGGCGTGCGAACATTGGCATGTTTATCTGTGGGGCCGCAAGTTTGTCTTACGAACTGACCATCAGGCTTTGGTGACACTGCTGTCCACAAATGGGTTGGAAGACGGCCACTGCGTATTGAACGCTGGTCTGCTAGACTTCTGAGATACAACTTCACGGTGCAGTACACAAAGGGGAGCACCAATGTCGTTGCGGATGCGCTTTCTAGGCTACCGTTGACCCCTGCAGAGGACGACCCTGTGGAGGAAGTAGTTGCTGTGGTTTCCAGCATGATCACAAAGAGTGAGTTGCAGGCAGCGACAGCTGAGGATTCAGTGTTAAATGAGGTGGCACAGTATGTTATGTCCAGATGGCCGGAAAAGGGCTGTTTAGCTGAAAACATAAAATTGTTTTTTCGTATGCAAGAAGAACTGTCGGTTATAGACGGACTATTGTTTCGCGCTGAACGGGTCGTTCCCCCAGCAGCACTTGCTTCCAGGCTGGTCATGATGGCACACGAATCGCATCCAGGCATTGTAAGGACCAAACAACGGTTGAGGGAACAGTACTGGTGGCCCGGAATGGACAGTGATGTTGAATCTTTGGTTAGGAATTGTGCTGTCTGCAAAGCATCAGATAAATCTGCAAAAACTGTAAGGGCCCCGTTGGAGCCAGTGCAGTGGCCCGAGAAGCCGTGGGAAAAGCTTGGAATTGACATCGTTGGGCCGATGGAACGAGCCCCTCCAGAGTGCAGGTTTGCAATCACTATTATTGATTACCACAGCAAGTGGCCTGAGGTGGCATTTGTGTCCACAATAACTGCACAGGCAGTAGTGAAAGTACTCGTGGAAATTTTTTCGAGAGAAGGGTACCCGAAAAGCATTGTGACTGACAATGGGCGTCAGTTCATGTCGACATGTTTTGAGCAGTTTTTACGAGACCGGGGAATTCAGCACTGTGTTACAACATTGTACTACCCGCAATGCAATGGGCAAATTGAGCGGTTCAACCGCGTTCTCAAGGAGTATATGCAGGTTGCGGCATTGGAGCGAAGACCACTGAAGGAGGCAATTTGGGACTACCTGGGTGTTTATAGGGCCACCCCGCATGCAACTACAGGAGCGTCGCCGGCTTACCTGCTGCATGGAAGAAAACCCAGAACGAGATTGGATGTTGTTGGCCTCCCAGAAAGGGAATTTTTGAGGAGCCGCGTGTCGTCATGGAAAAGTTGAAACAGCGCGTTAAGGAGCAGCAACAACGAACAAAAAAGTACGTCGATGAAAAACGAGGTGCCAGAGCGTCTGTCATTGAGCCAGGAGATTTCGTAAAAGTAAAACAAGGCGGACCGAAGACGAAACACAAGTTTTCTTTGCCGATCCAGGTGAAGAGACGTGTGGGCACGAATTCGTTTTCTACTGGCAAACGGGACGAAATGGAACGCATCAAAGTTAACAGTAATTAGTAAAGGAAGGACAGGACAGGCACAGGCACTAGCTGACGCGGTTACAGCGCGACGCAATGCATCTTCGGGGTTTTCCTACGACATGGATCTTCACATAGGAAAGATGGCTCAGCCACAAAACCCTATAGTCGTGAATGAATCGGAAGTGGGTCCATCAGAAGACACCCAGGGAAGCGCTAACCATTCTGACAGTGCACAAACCACGGTAACGGAGCCCATATTAGAGGTTCCCGATCAGCAGGACACATCTCGGTCGCAGTTGGCCACAGCCACAGCACCATCACGCACCAGGCCGGAACGAACAAGAAGAATGCCAACACGGTATCAAGACTACGAGCTGACCTGACTACAAGAACATCAAGTGTGGTGAAGTGAACGTGTGCTGTGAAGTGAGTGCGCGAAAGTAGACTGACTTTAGTTGTGTTGTTAATTTTTATGAGGGGGGAATGTGTTGTGTAGTGTATAGGGGGCGCTGTCAATGCTATCATCTGTATATAAGCGATTGCCATCAAAATAAAGGCAGTGGTTCCCCGTCCATGGATCGGTCCGACTTATCACTCGGCGCTTCGCGATACGGTGATAGCACATTGCCGACACACACACCTGGCAGCTACATTTTGACAGTATTCACAGCCGTTTGAGATAACTGCGGCAAACTACAACTCCGACGCGAAATCGACGAACTGTTCCGATACGCGAGCAAGGCGCACTACGTCAGACTGCGGAGGCGCGCCAGAATTCAAAAACTCGCGCCCAAGTGCGGCGGTCGCAAGTTCAACATTCACCGACGGTATCTAAAGCTCGCACACACAGCTAAAACAAACAGAGAAGCTTGGCATTACTCGATAGTGCCTTAATACGCTTCATGAGACGACAAGAATGCGACGCTATGAAAGCCGGTATCACCGGCCCTGACCTACGCGCGAAGGAGGAAAACAAGCTCGAAATCGTGAGCCACACGACACACGAACCCTGAGCGACGCTGCAAGTAGACCAAATGATATCGAGTGGCAATCATGTACACTTGCAGCCTGCTTCAGTCAGCGAGACGTGAGTGGAACGCTTCGTGGTGCGGCGGTGAACGCGCTTGGCAAGACCGCATGCGCTGTACGCCAACGAAAACCGAGCGCGCCTCGTCAACTTTCTCGAGTTAGAGGCGTGACGTCTGACGTTCGTGCCTTACCTTTAGTTGCTCAGTCTACCCAGCGGCTGCAAGATGGGCGTTTCCAACGAAGCTCGCGTTAGCTTACGCATCATTGGCGCGTCGGAAAAATCGCACTCGGGAGCACCACATTAGCCACAGACACTAGCTATGCCGCCATGTTAGAAAAGAGCCGCGTTGTCACGTGTTCAAAAGTGGTAATGATGATAACAATCTTTTCAAAAAGAGCCGCTTGTGAATTGAGTGAGTTTGTATCATTTCTTATTTAGTATGGTAATATAGCTTCTTTACTAGGATACGTTAATGTAATTGTGTCAAACTAGCTCGTCAGTCAGTGAAAGGCATGGTGAAAGGGTAGTACACCGCAAGTCTAAACTGTCAAATTTCAATTTTTAGAGTGACAGTTATGTTATTGACACTATAAGTGGTAAACACCACTTACTACAGTGCACGTTACCTGCACTATGGAGCGCTTTGGCAATGCTACCACACATTGACAAAATATAAATTTATTAGTACAGTGGCGCCGTCTGAGCACAAAGAAAGTGAGAAAGCAACTGTAACGAATGCATCAAAAAGCAATGAAATGGAGAGGAGAAATGGTATAGGAAAGGAGAAGCACGGAAGAAAGTGAGCGAGTGATAGAATGAAAGCATGAAGCCGATAGGAGAAAGTGTGCGAGAAGAGAGAAAGGAAGCGACGCGAAGAAAGCCGGATTGGGCGAGGGAAGCGATGGATGTGCGCGACGTTTCGAATATTTGGGAGAAGACCCCCCGACGCAAAAATGACGTTACGGAAACCCGGTAGGACGGACTCCGTTTGAAAAATCCCGACGCCCGCTCGCAGGACTGCTTGAGGAGCCGCCGCCGCCTTTGGGACGTGTTTGTCCTTTTAAACGGGAGTTGTTTGGAGTCGGTGGAGGAAAGACGCCGCATCCCTGCGCTACGACGACGTTTCGCTTTTCTGCGGGAGTTTATCAGTGCGAGAGTGAAAAATTTTTTCGTTGATAGTCCACCCGCGGGTGTTTGCTGGTTTGCCCGATCACCTCAACTGGCAACGCCATCCTTCGCCTTAGGCCAGGTAAGCTTTCATCTTCGATCAACATTTGTTTCTTACCGCTGCAGTGCGGATGACAAGGCAGCGGTGAAAGCGCTTTTGTTGAAGCGGGCCGGCGCATCTTGCAGTTCTCGGCGTCTCTTTTCTCTTCAGCTTGGGATCGGTTGCCGTCTTCAGTGATCGTCTTATATAGGATCGAACTCAGCTCCGACTACACTGAGACTGCGCGGAGTTCCTTCGTCGCGCGTGAAAAAACTTCTACGGAGACGACGTGACTGCGTGTTGAGGCAAAATGACTGGCCTGCGGGAGCCCAAAAATTGTCTCGGAAGAGGCCATTTTAGGCTTGCCGGCCGCTTTTGCTACCGCGAAGGCACTGTTGTCGCATTCGGGGTCCATAACTTTTGTTTGATTGCTCGCTGCATTCTCGTTGCACGCTGTTGTGATGCGCAATTCGTCTGTGGAAATTCACTCGCAGTCACTACATCACCCTCGCAAAAGCAGTGCCGGAAACCCCAACGTGCGTAGTCGCAAATGTATGCAGTGACAAAGGGCGATGCTACAAGCGCGTTTTTGGGTGTTACTGGTCATTCTAGCGAGTGATGCCCATCCCCAATGTCGGCCTTACTGTGTTTGAAATGAAACTGTAATCGACGGCGCGGGCACATTTTCTTGCAAGACGAACCAAGGCATATATATATAACGGGTCGTCGGGAAAAGAACCGTTAGCTGGCGTGTCAGTGAACCTTCACGATTTGTCAGCGGACTAACCGATTTTTATTTCTTTACTCTATGGAGGTGTTACAATCCGCGGTGCGTTTCGTCCTTGTTTAAAGCACTGACTGCTATTATAACTGGCAGGAAAATTCACCCGTGTACTTTGATTTACGATGTGAACATTGGCGAAAGTTTGTTTGTCCCGCAATTTCAGGCGTCACGTGCCAGACTGGAGCGGGTTATTTTTAGCAGTCTTAGATGTGTACGCCGGTCTCCGTCGCATATCTCGCCCTGTGCGTGGACGAGGAACATTTGTTAACGTAGCAGTGAACTTGAAGTTTTTCTTTATAATTGCTGTTCACGCGATCGACGGAGGAGTTGGCCCATGCTTGGCGAGGTAAAATGAAAATTGAGGGGAGAGGGGTGTTGAAATGATCGCGTTATCTTCAAGCTTCGAATCGACTGCGATCGAAACGCGCGGATGTGCGACTTTACAAGTGTTACTGGTTCATAGGAAGCTTGGAAGAAGTTGAAGGAACGAGACTTTTTGACCCGGCTCCCGCTAGGAGTGTGGCAGCTTGGGCTAGTTGGTATGGCATGACGATAGTTATAGCGCGAGAACAAAACGACGACACAGGCGCCCGTGTCCTTCTTGTCTCTGTGTCGTCGTTTTGTTCTCGCGCTATAACTATCGTCCCGCTAGGAATCTCGATCGTACGTGCGCCTTTTTTTTTTTTTTTCTCCGTGAGCATGCCCAATATCTGCGGACTATCACTGTCCGTGCTCGGAGCTAAATAATCGGAGAAAAAAAAAAGAGAGAAAGAAACGTGGCTTCGCTGTGGGGAGAAAGAAAAGGCTCTTCCATAAACAGCGTAGCCACGGTTACAAGCTCCGTGTTATTTGTCCGCCCGCATCGCCCCCCGCGGGCGCGATTCGGTCGCGGTGTGAGGGGCGGTGGTTGAGAGGGACCCGATACGAGAGCGGGCTGACGATGCGTTGGGACGGAAAGAAATATAGAAGAATCGGAAAGAAGTTCAGCGAGGGAAGGAAATTTCCGCGCCTGCTTCTTCCAAATCCCTCGCTCGGCAAGGAATGTGTCGCGGCTCTCTGTGCGCAGTTTTCGGGCAAAAAGAAAGCTGAAAAGGGAAGCCGAGGCAGGTGCGAAGAGCTATTTGCAGACAAGTGCACGCGCTAACGAGCATGACTTGCTTCTCCCGCAAGCACGGGGATGGCGCGCGCACGGCAGCTGGATTTAGTTAGATTTAGCTGGATTTTTGTTTCGGTTTGCTTCAGCGTGCGTGCACGTGACTAGGAATGCGGCAAACAGCATTTCACTTGTGCCGAAGAGGTGGGAAGACGCGTGTGTGCGTGCCGCAGCTGTTTAATTAATCGCCGATGTCCAGCTAGGAGATATGTACCGTTAACTTGGAAATCGTTGCGAAACCTTGAAAAAGAAACCTTTTGTAGTTGTTCGTTAGTTCGTGTTTTCCCTGCTGTTTATGTTGAAGCAAACAGACAGTTCGAAATCTGTGACGTCGCGCTTGCACTCAAACTGTGCGCCCCCTTGAAATCATAATTTCTTCGGCATTCATTTTATCCACTAATAAGACTTATCTCTCTCTTTTTTTGGGTGCATAAAAGACAGCCTCCAATGAAATCACTTGGCACAGGCGTCGCCTCCATGGTTATTCCCTCGCTGTTTGTAGTCCCTGCTGTTTGCTCTGTTTCAACGAATGATCTCCGAAAAGAACTAATCTCCCATCGTTCTCTCTCGGGGCAATTCGTCGTTCACTCGGAAAGTTGAAAGCGTGCAAGTAATGCGAATTCTCGTGTTTTTTTTTTCGTTTTTTTTTTTTCAAAGAACCAGGCAGGCGCCGAGACCGTGCTCATGCATTCCAAAATAACAGTCTGCGCCTTTTTCGAGGCACCCCTTTTCCTTCAAAAGTAATCCTCATTCGGCTTTCTTAAGATTCCTTTCTTGAGAAAAAAAAATCCACGCATCTCCACGAAATGTATCGAGTGGGCGAAGCTAGGACCTAGGGGGCAAAAGTGTGCGTTGAAGCCCGCCCCCCAAATTGTTTTTTTTTTCGCCATGGCGTACAGAGAAAAACATGATCATTTAAGCGGTGCCCGCTCGAAAATCAAGCACCCCCCCCCCCCCCACCCCCCCCCCCCCCCCGAAAAAAAATGCTGGCTACGCCCTGCGGTGAATCGCCGACCAGTGTAGACTATTTTCTGTAAGGCATCGGGGCGCCGCCATTTTGCGCTGTCAAGCCGACGTTTTCCTGTTTCTGTATATTGCAACGTGAATTATCAAGACCATAAAACATCGTATGCATCAGCCCCACCGTTTTAGTACATATGCGTCTATAGTGTAACACTGATAGTTGTTAAGGGTGCAAAACACAAAAGGTCCAATATGGTGGCACTCAAACCCGTCTGTGCTTGTATAGGTATTTCGTATTGTTCCGTCACAAGTATGATTGAAATTATTGCGATGTTAACCTTTTTTTTTTTTCTATCTCACATATGATTCGACTATACCGTACGTTACCCGAGTGTTGCCCCATTTAATGTATGTATGTACATTGAGTAGTGCATGGGCGTCGGCATGCAGGGGGGGGGGGGGGTGCAAAAGGGGCACCCTCAAGCCGCAAAATTAGCGCTTCACTCCTTACTGAGCCGAGATTCAGCCCCGGTTTGCTGCCCCCCCCCCCCCCCCCCCCAAGACAAAATCCTGCCGACGCTCATGATTGAGTGAAGAGTCGACGACCAAGCTAGGTGCTAAGGGCCATAATGTGTACGTTGAAGGCACCACCAACTATTATGAAGGGTTTGTCCTTGTGGGTGTCTTATATTTGATATTAGTCTATTGGTAAATTCTGTGTGTGTGTCTCACATATGTTTCGATTATATCCGTGACAACGGACACCGTGGAAGGAGAAGCTGGAGAAATTTTCGCCTCCATACAATAATGCCATGTCACGCTTATGCCGCGCGCGCTGTTCGTGACTAAAAAGTAAAGGCACACGGCGGTAACGTGAAGAAGAGCCTGCAAGATAACGGTTATTTTTGTGTGAATGAGAAAGACACCTTTAGTTTTGAGAGCAGACTATTACTCCTCTTAGGGGGTTATTTGCCGCTGGGAAGCAGATGTGTCGTGGGATGTTCGTGTACGAAAAGTTCCGAGTCGGGCCGAATAGGATCGGCTGTTCGAGGGGAAAAAATGACCTCGGAATAACGAGTCGAATGTAATACGAGCCACAAGGAAGAAGCGGATGCATCGTAGAGAAGACACGTAGTGAAACTTGCTTTGCCAAACCATGGCAGTGTCTTCGTGGAACCAGAGACACTCAAGAAAGCAACGCCTGGAACCTTTTCCGTGGCACTACTGAATATAGAAGGCCTGGAAGAATGGACGGCGGACTTTCCCGAGTACACCATAAGCCAGACGAAATTGCGCGACTGCTCATCAGTGTCATCGCTCCAGGATCCGTCCATTTCACTGTGCATTGGCTGATTGGAATTTACAAGTAGTGACACCAAAACCCAATCATGTCTGCTCTAACACCGCTTTTTTTTTCTGTTCCAACATTAGGGTTATGGTCTAGTGCAGGGTTATGGTCACGGAAACATAACCGCACGTTTCAGCGCTGTGTGTGCTTTACGTAGCGTAAGATGCCAGCAAAGGCGGCCAAAAGAAATGACCACCGGACACGCCCTCATCCTCCGACAGCGGCCGCGAGCGTTGTTGCGTCAGGCAGTCGGCGGAGTATCCGGAGCTCTGCACGGAGTGTTTTTGTGCCTGCCTGGCGGGGCGGCTTGTGCGGTCACATCGTTTACGTGATCGAGTAGAACTGATAAGCACAGTTGTGTGTCTCTGTTGCACGCTACAACCCTCCCCATCTCTTCTTTTGGTGACAAGAGGGGAGTCTTCGTTGTTGTCGAGAAAACCACGCCGGAGCGATGGAGCAAGCGGGTGCAAAGAGGAGCTCATAGGCGGGAATAAAGGGCGCGGTCGAACCCCGCCGCCTTTGTTGCCCCTCCTCCGCGGGGATGAGAGGGGGAGGCGCGGGTGGCGGGGGAGGCTGCCCGAAGCGTGCCCTCGAAGAGTCGACGTCGCGGTTTCGTTCTCACGGTCTCGCAAGGACGCTGCCCCCCGAATTCCTATCGCGCCCGCGGGATGTGTGTGCCTCTTGTTCCGACCAACTGGCCTGCTGCTTCCCTCTTCATTCCCCTTCGTTTCGTCTATCAGGGTCAACGGGAGGGAGTGGTACGACGCCACAAATTATTGCTGACGCCGTGCATCGTCTGTCCTTCTGTCTATCCACAGTTGAAGCGCACATTGCAGCCGTGCTCAAGCGCTCATTCGCGTGCCGCTGGGAAGATTGTAACGGAAATTCTTGCGAGTTGGATACCCGGCATGTTTGTTGACACACGCCGTTTTTAATAATCCGCTCACATGGACGTTCCTGGCGGTGCTCGCAATCAACTAGCTCAAAGCAAGATTGTGCGGGAGATCTTTCTCACACCACAATCATTTCTGTCGTGGTAACAGACGTGGAATGAAGGATATTATGATCAAAAACTGACACTGTGCATTAGCCTTGACCATACTTCTTGTTCCTTGCGCTGGGTAGAACTTTTGTAGTGGCAGCTAGGTTACTTCCATCACACTATCGCTGCAATTGTACTGTCTCATTTTTTTTTTCTGGGTTCATACGAGTAAACTACTTTTGCGCAATAGCAAAATGGTTTGTCTGATAGGAGGCTTTGTTGGCAAGACGTAACCGACGTGCACGTGACGCAAGAAGATGCGACGCCCTCACCGAATTTCCCGCGCTAGCTGGCTGTGACGTCACCAACGTTGGCAGTAGGGTTTTTTTTTTACTTTTTCTTCTTGACAGCTGTGGTCGACTTATTTCCTTCCAAAACCAGCCTAATACGCAAGTATGAAATTTTCGAAAACTTTCTCTCTTCACCGAAACGGACCAGAAGCAATAACGTTTCGGAAACAATAACGTTTCGCAAATCGTGACGTCAGGATGATGTATCCGACGCATCGGCTGGTGCAGGTGTTTTGGCGCGAGATCCGAGAAGGTTGGCCGTTCATTTCCACCAGTAGTAAAATTTCGTTCATTCCCCCGCCCGCTTATGTGAATAAAGGATGAGAAAGTTTCGATCTTGAACCGATTGATTGGTGATGTTTATTTAGTATCCACTCGACGGAGCTAATACGTACTGTTGCCGCTCGAGGGAACGAAAACGGTACCGTGGCAGTGTGCGCGACTCGGATCTTATCGCGGAAAACGGGCACATGTCGTGAGCCGGGCGGAAACGGGAGCCCTGCCGGTGTGGGGAGCGGAGGAAGCGCCCACACAGGGCAGCGGTGGTCACGAACGCAGTCACGAAACGCGACGCGCGCGCCCAACGGTCGACGGTGCAAGTGAGGTCGTCGTGATCGCGTGCGGCGCGACTGGCGCGAAAGCGTACGCGCGAGCGTCACGGAGCGTGAACTGGCCGCCGGTCGTGCGGAGAAACAGGCGTTTTGAACCGCTCTCGTCACGGATTTTGTTTCTTTTTTCCGCTGTTCGCCCTTCCTGGGACGTCTTTCCAAACCCATATCCGTTCTTCCACTGCGCGGGTACTACATTCGCCGTCGCGCTCTGTAGTCGGGAGTGCAATTCTTGGAGAGACGAATGTGCTGTTCCAGGATTGGTGAGTGGTGCGAGGATGGCACAATAGCGACGAATTCGTAGGCAGGAAACAAAAAAAGCAGCATCTAATTAGAGAACAATCTAGCAGATTGCTGTCAGTGAACACGTAACAGTAATTTCCGTTTCAGAACTTTCTTATAGGGACACTAATATTAAACAGTCAATCAGCTTAGACTGATGAACTATTCTGTGAAAACTTGTGTCATTAATTATGCGACCATAGGCGAAAAGTTTCAGTTCTAAATTCCTCCCTATTCACACATGGATGCGTCAGCATGGCATCATGGACCTTTAGAGTAGCTGCCATTTGGGTGGACTGGTGTGAGTACTTTTTATTCAAGAAAAAAATTGTATGTGTGCGAAATGAATGTACATCCCAAAAGCCAGCATCATTATCTAAAATTAATGTGTGTCAACATGCTGTACCAAGAGTAGAACAAGTGCACACCATGACAATGCACCTGTGAAGCCCTTGAAAATCAAGAAAAATGCCCACAATCATATCCCACTGAAAATGGCAAAATGTGAGCTTAATCTGGGTGTGCATATATGTGTGCATTTTTTTTTTTACCACGTTGGCTAAACAGTCTTCTTAAACACGGTACTTTAGGTATCTGGTTCTTTTATAGGACAATTTTTACAAATGAAGAATTTGCATGCCCTTGTAGATGGCATAAAAACGTGACATCACAGCGGGAAAGTTTTCAACTTCTTGGTGGTGTCACCAACTGCATGTCTATTTTATTTTTTTACATACACATTCTTTTTATGACAACAGTTGTTTTTGTGTTTTTTATAGCGAGAATTTACTAATGCGAGAAAAAAAATTTCAGGTGTTCACTTTTTCTTAACCCACACACAGACCTGCACCCATTACAAAAAAAAATTTCTGTTACAATTACCTCCTTGAAAAATGTAATAGACTGTATGTAATGGAATGCAAGAAAGATTAGTTGCCAAAAAGGTTTTGAACAACCAAGAGACGCTTTTATAATATGTCCATATAGGTTTCTTCATGGCTTTGTGCTACAAATCGTTGGTTGGCAGTTTCCTTTATTTCTGAGAATAATTTTATTTGATCTCGTGCCATTTGTATGTGATTGCAGTTACTTGTATTACTGATGTAAACTTTATCACTTTTATATAATTTGCACCAGAAATACTGGTATTTTAAATATATAGCTCATCTTACTTAGTGTTCAGTGACAATCCATCTGCTTAAATTGTTTGTTGCATTTTTCAGGGAGTGTTTGCATGTGCAATTGGTTCAGCGATTACTATTAGGATTTATCAGATGCTTAAATGATGTTTTCAACTCAGAGTCTCTTTATATATTCTGCCACCTGCTCCAAAAAATTTGAATTGCTGCTCCCAACTAACATTTCTTTTTCTGCTCAGATAACACTTTAGGCTGCTGCAAAAAGAAAAACGTTGCTTCCATCGCTGTATTATTGTCAAGAAAGTGTTTAAATTAACTTCAAAGTTGAAACCTTGATATTTACACAACATGCTCATGGTCCAGTGTCTTCGGTATATGCAGGATGACAATTGAAGCGGAGGGTGCAGTGCACCCAGAGACTGCGGCCGAGTCTCCGGCCGAGGCATCTGTCACTGGTCAGAAAGGCAAGAGCCTGGACGAACTCGTGGTCGGGCTCAGCTCGGCCGATGAGCTCAAACCCATCGACGGCGTGCCCATTACCGAGGCAAAGACTGGTGACGCCGACTCTGCGGCCCCGCAGAAGCAGCAGGGAAAGGAAGAACTGGAAGCTGTGGAAGAAGAGGATGTGGTGAAGGTTGAATCTCTGCCCGACTTGCCAAAGACACCCACAACTCGCTTCTGGGCCAGGTAGGTGCTGAGGCTTTGCAGATTTGATCTGAAAAGACAGATACGAGTGTTTAGTGCACAATACAGGAACTTCGTCTAGATGCAGTCGAAGCCTTTTATTAGAAACATGCACGGAGCAGAAAGTCTTGTCTTTTGCATGAGGTGTCTGTTATAAGCAGGCATGCATGTACCACACATGCATTTTCTCAGCACCTATTTCAATGTAGACACATTAGTGTCTCTTAGAGCCAGTTCTCTGTTGCATCAGTGTCTCGTTTAAAGGGCTTTAACTGTATTCTGTTTATCTGACTGGCGGATAAAAATAGTTGCTTCAAAATATAACCGCTACCACGAAATTTCCAGCGAGTGCCTTTACTCTAGCAAATGCCCTCACGTCTTTACCGGTAATTTGAAATCATTGCGAACTACTTAGAAAAGTACCGTATTTTTGCGCGTATAACCCGCCCCTGCATATAATCCGCACCCCCACTTCCAGCTCACCGAGAAAGAAAAAAAAAATCCTCGCGTATTGCCCGCACATTTGATATACAGGAAAGGCTGTACAAAAGCTACTGCTCAAGCAACATAGCACATATGTAGACAGAAAAAGCTTTATTTAGCAAGCAGAATACGCTGTCTGCAAGGCCAGTCACAATTCACTCACTGTCGCTGCTCTCGCTAGAGCTATCACTTGAGCCGCAGTCCTCACTATTATGCGCAAGGTCATCTTCGGTTCCATCCATGTTGTTTGTGATGCAGCATTTCTTGAAACTTTTTTCGCATTATCTCCCCTGGAATGGCCTTCCATGCCTCGACAATCCACTTGCAGAATAGGGCAATATCAGGCCTTCGGACTTATCCTGTCGGTGTCAAGTCCTAGCAGCCTTCGGCCATCCACTCTGCGTAATAGCGCTTGACATAAGCTTTGAAGGGCTTGTTAAGCGACACATTTAGAGGCTGCAACATTGATGTCATTCCACCGGGTATAACAACTAAGTCGATGCCGTTGCGTGAAAGGTGGTCCTTCACTTCCTCAGTTGGGTGGCCGCGGAACGAGTCAAGAACGAGCATGGACCTCTTTGCGAGCATCGCACCAGGCCTCTTCTCCCATACCGTCTTGATCCAGTCTTCGACAAGTCACTGTTCATCCACGCGTTCTCGTGTGCGTGCACCACCACACCGGCAGGCAAATGAACCTTTGGTAGAGTTTTCCTTTTCAAGATGACGTACGGTCGCAGTTGCGTGCCGTCGGCAAGGGCACAAAGCAAGACTGTGATGCTCAGTTTCGTGTTCCCGCCGGTCAGCACGCTCACCGAACTGCTGCCCGTCTTCTCAATCGTTGTGTCCAACGGCATTTCAAAATAAACAGGAGTTTCATCCGCATTGCCGATTTGCGAGAAAATGCAATTGTGCTGCTTTCGCAGGCCAATTACATATCTCTGGTACTTGATCAGCTTCTCCTCATAAGAAGCCAGCAAGCGTTGACATATTGTAGTCCGCCGTCTGATTGAGAGCCCTTGCCGCTTCATAAAGCGGTGCAGCCATCCGCGGCTCGCACGAACTCGTGAAGTAGGCCTAGCTCCCTCGAAAGTCGCCGCGCTTCCACTTGGGCCATCTCGGTCGATACGGCGTGACCCGTGCTTCTCACATCTTCGATTAACTTTACTAGCTCCGCCTCCAGCTCAGGGTAGGTACTGGTCTTGGGGCCACGAAATGACCTACGGTCGCGGTGCGCGACTTGTAGGCTCTCTTTCTTCTTTCTTCACAGTCGCACGCAGGACTCGTCCACATCGTGTCGTCTTCCTGCTTTGCAATTTCCAAATTCCTCGGCGACGGCGATGATCTTAAGCTTTTGCTGTGCCGTGAAGGCCTGCCGCCGTACGCTACTCATGGTGACAGAACAGATCGACTTAGGCCTGGCAAACGGGTCGAGATATGGAGAACTAACGGTATCAACAAGCTAAAGAGCACTCACACTCTGCGACAACTTGACAGCACTACCCCTTCTAGTACACTGTAACAGCACCCTGGAAACAACAGAACCGAAATGCATGCCTGCTACCGCGTTAAAAAGTAGTACATTAATTTACTGATAATATCTCTATAGACACTAACTATAACATCTCATTTGCCTTGCTGAAATAAATACTGCTTTATTTATTATGGAACTTTTTAGACAGCACAACCTTTTCGGCAAGCCCTTTCCAAAAGTAAACATGGCGTCCGTGACGTAGGGACATGTGGAGGGTCACTGAGCGGCCGCGAACGTCCACAAAGTATACTTGTGGTGTGACAGTGAGATTTTACACTGAACAATCGAATTGTCTCTCCCCAAATGTTTTTCTAAACGCTTCAACGATGCAAGCAAGCGAAACCAAAATCAGCCGCAAGCTGCCGTGCTACTTGCGGAGCAACACGAATTTGCGGAAACCGCCTCCGTAGCCTTCGCTACATTGTTAAGGGGCTTCACAGCACAACACGCATTGCTGTGAAGCAGCACTATAGGAAAAACCCAGCGTATTATCCGCACCTCCACTTCGTCACTGAAATTTTTGGGCTTTTGGTGCGGGTTATACGCGCGAAAATACGGTATGTTCCAGCCAATGGAAGCTTGTGTCATATTTGTAGTATTTCACCGGCATAGCACTAAGTCAAAACAAAACCTTTTAGACCGCTTGCCATCACAACCACTACAAATGGTGTTACTAATGAAGTCTTGCGTTGTGGCGACGTAGTTTTGAAAGTACTTGCGACAGCATGTGCCAAGTCAAAACGCAAGTTTGCTACTACAACTTTCGAGAAAACCATGTTCAACAACACCAGTCATGTTCGGCTACTATGCAGATATGACTGCAAACTGGCAATCTGCCACAAGGCAAACTGCTGTTTGGGGCATACGCTGCTGACATTTAAAAAAAGTATCGAAAACCTTGCACATATTTGTGGGCCCAGCGATTTGTCACCAAACCATTAGAAATGATGCTTTGTAGGCAGTCTTTGGCTGCGATGGCCCCTGCAGAGATGCCATCACATCTGGAAGCATCATTAGGGATACTATTATTACAGTCACGAATTGAAATTGCAAGCTATGTGCGATCACATGTGGCAGCAACCGCGACAAGATGCATGTTTCTCATGTTTTACCAGCACTCTGCCAATTCATCTTGGTTAGCACAACTCTCGCTCGTTTTCGTCACATATCTGCGGCTCCTCGCGCTCAATGAACTGAAAAAAGGCAACCTGAGTTTAGCCAAATGCACATACTAATTTAACGGACTTCTACACCAATAAATAATGCAACACTTGCCACAAACTCACGACAAGTCCACATCATGCAGCTTTGCAATATCGATAAGGCTTCATACAACTGCGTACTGTTATTTATTCTTCCGATTTCCTACTCTCACCTTTAAATTTAGTCCACCTCTTGTTAACGTTTTTTTAATTATCTTCGTCCGTCGGGTGGGCAATTGCTTGGGGTTTAATAGTATAGTTGCATAATTGTTAAGAAAGCCTGTGAACATTTCACTAATGTTTTACCATGCCAAAAAGTATATCTTTCCTCCCGTTTTGTTGTTCAGTGTAAACCCCACTATGTTTTTAAATAAATTATGAAAAGTAGAGCTTGAAAGCAAGGAAGCAGGGCTGTATAGGATGACTGCCAGTTGGGCATGTTGGTATTAGTTCATGATGAAACAAGCATACGTTCTGCGTCCTTTCTGAGTCTTCGTACTTGTTGGCTCTTGTTTCAAGCAGGGCCTGCGAAGCAGCCTTTAAAGAGAGTAAAGCCTTTTGAAATACTTTGAAATTCTGTACACTGAGACTGCAAACATGACTGAGATTACAGGTGTACAAGAGCATGGGCTAGCTAATTAGGTCATTTATTGTATCGTGATATCAGGGTATCACGTCTGGGGGACTTCATGAAAGTCAGTGTGGTTAACACGCTTTACTTGCACTGCCTAAATCATTGCCGGAAGTGTGGCCCAGAGGATGCTCCACTGTGGCTCATGTACAGCAGCTCATACTAAACCTGACAGTATGTTTATGCATTTATTTAATCGCAGTACCCTTACGGGCCCTCTTACGAGGGTGTTACATAGGGTGGTGAGCACAGTAAAAAAAAAAAAAAAGACGAGGAAAAAATGAGAATAAATAAGCAATACCAGGCCGCAGAGTACAACTGTGGAACATATTAAAAAAAAGAAGTAATTTACATATACTTGGAATTAAGGCTTATAGCAAGAGCATCATATATAGCACAAATATGAAGCAGAGGCATTCATTGTTATTACAAAATAAATACATAGTAGTAGTTGCCTGATGCAGGATTACATTAAAATCTCACTGATGCAAAGTGTGTTAATGCCTGTATAACAAAACAGGTAGTAATATCAATTTAAGTAAAACTGCTTGCACGTAACAACACTTCAAAAGATGATAAATTGGTTTCAGTTGCTACATGTGATGCTCGGTTTTCCATTCCATTATTGTGCCTGCTCTATAGATGACTTATCATAGAAAGATGAGTGGCAAGCTATGCTTGCTACTTTGTTATCATGGTCACTGCGTGAAAAGACAGCAGGTGGCGAAGAAAAAAAGTCATCATGAAGCATGTGATGATGGGACAGTTTATTAAACAAAGGTACAATGTTATGACATATGTCATGAGGTATACAGTCGAGCCCGCTTATAACAAACCTGAGCCTGACGCGACATTCGTTTGCTGTATTCCGAAGTTCGTAGTAAATGAAACACAGCTTTTAAAGAAATTGCGAGTGAAAACACAAAATCTTTTGCCCAAAAAAGTCCATGATGCACTTGTTTCAAAGAGCAGAAGCGATAATCACGGTCTCGAGTTTATTTCAAACGGCTGCATGCTCTTCGCCGAGGCCCGTGGCATAAGCTACGTGAGGCACTGGCTCCACAGTTTCATCGTTGCAATCCGATTCCTCCAAATCCCTCTTGCCGTGTATTTCATTCACAATGCCCTAATCCGTGCACGGTTTCGCGGTGTCTGCATCATCATCGGTCGTAATGAAACCATTGCAGCAGATATCCCATCCACTCTCTCATGTCTGAGTCGACAACGCGCTGCCACAAATCGCCGCCCAAGTGGTCCTGTTTGGAAGCTTCAGGCTCGGCATCGGGCCCGACGTCAACTAAGTCGGTCTTGAGAAAACAGTTTCGTGCGCACATAGCCGTCAACGCCGCCCACGATATATTCACCATCTCCACAGCTAGATATCGGGACGCCAGAAGCGGCAAGTTGGCTGCCAAGTGGTCAATAGCTATGAGAAAGCGCTCCGCAACACGGCACCTAATGCCTGGATTACGCCCAAGCGAAGCGGTCACACTTTCGACGTTTTGTTGAGCGGCATGAAAAAGCGCGGAAGGCCTCCCGTCCGCCATCCTGACCACACACGCACACCAAGAGCGAGCAAGGCGAGCACATGCAACACATATGCCAGAACGCGAGGAACAGCTGTGGGCCCCTTTCTAGTCAGAAAACAGAAGCTTCTGAATTAGAACCAGCATGGCTGCACAGAGTTAAATAGACTGACTTTAGAGGAAAAGCTAGACTGAAAAAGCTATAACCACCAAAGCGCTGACATCTTGGAACGTTGTCATTGTTTCCATCACAATACTTTAGAGAAGCACTAGATTTAAACGTTTAATACACTCAAATTTTCGCAGCACAAATCATAAATAAGCGTCATCACATATTATAAATAAACGAAAATTGTATGAAGTTTATATCAACTACTTTTGTGAAAAATACCATGGCCATTTATACAATTTGCTCAGCGTGAAAAGCAGCGTTTGCAGGTTTGTTGAGTAGATCGCTCCACCATCCTCGTAAGGTTGAAAGCGTGGTGACGTGGCGTGCGGCCAATTGTGCCGACTCGCTTGCGCGCCGGGTGAGTCGTATACAGTGCCTTGACGTACGTATTTTTGTTGGCATGCGCCAAAACCTCAACTTCATGTGACAGTATCATAGTGCGATGTAGCAGAGACCTACCAAACAGAAAAATGCCAGGTGTCATTGCAGCATGCAAGGCGACTATGAGTGAAGGTCACCCGAAAGCTGAGTATCGTTTCATTATGGCGGCACACGAGCGGTTATAAGTTTTAATGCATGGGCTCTACGGGGACCTTTTCCTCTGTAATCTGTATAATAACTCTTGGTGGCTGGCGTCGCGGAGCGTTGGATATGGGCGAAGGTGTTGTGATCAAGAGAAGAGAGCAGATTTGCGAGAGAAGGTGAAGGAGTTGCGATAGAGTGAAAAGAGGTAAGGATATGGCGGGATGCAGACAGGTTGGGTAGCTTGCTTGGTGCATGAAACACGCAACTTGCGCGTAGAATTGTTTTGTTGGGCTGGCGGGTTTGCATGGCCTCAGCGACTTCGATATTTCACGATTTGTTCCGCGCAAATTAACAGTCGTTCTTTGCTTCTGCACGCGTGAGTAGGGCATGCTGAGCTGAGTGCGAAGTGAGCGAGAACAGGTCCTAAACACAAAACGAATTGCGAATTATCAAAGTTGGTGGGGTAGCGTATGCTTGTGCACTAGAACGATACGATAAGACAAGACGTAGACGATCAGATACAGTCAGTGTCCGACGATGTTGGCAAATGGTCTGGTCATTCCAAGCTGATGACACTAACGACAGTACCAGCGATCAAAAACTAAGGAGAGATGGCCGACCGGTCTTCGAAAGATTGGTGGCAGTGTGAAAACATCGGCCTCGTCTAGTGATGCAGGATTCTCAGAGTAGTGGGAGAGACAAAGGACGGAGGGCTGTGTAAGAAAAAGCAGTCAGGGAGAGCGGGAACTAAAGAGGCGCGGAGGCAGGGGCGGTATTTTAACAATAATAATTTATGGGCACCTAGGCGATGCCTGATCTATGGTCGAAAGTGGTTTCCCAGGAATTCGGCAGAGCGTCGACTCCATTCGCTGGAATCAATCGGCGGCTCTCAGAGACGTTCATTGTAAGTGCGATTTCGTGCCATTGAAACAATGTATATTTTCATGGTCACGCAGATATTGTTCGTTTTAAGTGAAAGTTCGTTTTAAGTGGGGCCGTTATATGAGGGCTCGAATGTATTGTAAAGTGGTATGTACACAAAGTTTTGCGGCAGAGATAGCCTGCAGGAACGGTTCCCATGAACATGCGTATATCATCTGCAAAATATCAACAGCTAATATAGCTTAGAAGGTGTACAGCATTTTTGAAATTCGAATTTTGAAGCTATTGACACCATCAAAAGATACCCCATCGATGGGGACCCCCTTACTTGTAACCCTCATGTCATAGCTGCCATTTTTTTTTGCCTCATTTGTCTCAGCAGTCTATACTTCTCGGCAGCTGCTCGTGAGTCCATGGCCGCGGCGCATGCGTCGAAAATTTTGGTGACACTTCTGTTCTGTTTCCTGTTCGAAAGAATTTCTTGATGTGGACCGTGCAGAAGTGAGTCACAGTTCTGCGATCTGACGTGGTCAAGAGCTGCACACGCTAGGTGGTGACAGTTGCACTTAGTGGCTTGTCGTTTTTAGAGCTCCCTCGAACCAAAACTGAAACTGTTCAGTACTGAGAAGCCTGTAATTAATGATCTCTCATGCACTGAAGCAAACAATCCGCCGTGTTATGACTAACAGGCTCCTAGCAACACAACGCAGAAAAAAAAAGTGCGACGCCAAAATTTTTTTGCGTCAGTACCCCTTTAAAAGTATGTTGTTTTATATGTCTTGCACAAGCTTTCTCATTAGTCTTCTAAGTAAGAAAGTCATTCCAAGTATTCGCAGTAGCACTAGCTGTTGTGTAAGCAAAAAAAAAAAAATTTTTCCCTTAGGTGGTTCAAGAAGGGCAGCTTCACACCCAACTTCGGCAAGCAGCGCACAGAGGATACAGAGATGTGTGAGAAGGAGACGCAGGATGACAATCAGGGCAAGAAAGAGGAGAATCACGCAGGTGATGAGAACCACAAAGACAGCAAAGACTCCCCGGCGAATGGCGATGGCATTGGCGAACAAGGCAAGAATGAAGGCGAGGGGCAGAACGTGAAATCATCCTCCAGTTCAACAGACATCACCATCCCTATTGGTGATGCCGACACGGCCACGAAGGCAGACGAGAAGCAGGGCGACGAGAGCGTGCCGGAAAAACTGCCTCTGCGTGAGCGATTTGCCGTGTATCGACGTAAGCGCTACCTCCTTGTAGGTGCAGCCATTGGAGTCTTATTCCTCGTTACTGTAATCCTGGTGGTGACGGCCCTCTCTGGCGGAGGCTTTGGCTACGACGACGACGACTGGAGCATTCCCGTGGCAGCCACGGACTGCGGTCTAGTCGAGGGTCACATAGAAGAGGGTGCTTTCGTCTTCCGCGGCATTCCGTACTCTCTTCCTCCTGTCGGCGAGCACCGCTGGAAACCTCCGAGGGCCTTCCAAAGCATCAGCGAGTGCTGGTCTGGAACGAAGCAGGTGCACAAGTTTGCTCCTAGATGCCCCCAAAAGAAGGCACCCGGTGTGCGTTTCAACACAAGCGAGGACTGCCTTTACCTGAACGTTTACACACCATCCATGTCCAAGCGGGGCCTTCGGCCAGTCCTGGTGGTGCTTCCTGGCGGATCGCTCATGGGGATGGGAGAAGAGGACATCTTTCTGGAGCCGAGTCCAGGGCTTGCACGCACCCACGACGCCGTGGTGGTGACATTTGAGTACCGGCGCAATGCGTTTGGCTTCTTGTCCTTGGACCTGCTCTCGAAGGGGGTGAGGCCGCCGACATCTGGGAACTATGGATTCCTGGACCAAGTGGCAGTGCTGAAGTGGGTGCAGCGCAACATCCGGCAGTTTAATGGGGACCCCAACAAGGTATGATGTCCTTTCAAATAACTTGTCTTTTGCAAAGTTTGATGGTATGGTGGCTGTAGACATGAACACTTGGCTTAACTGGTAGACAATGATGAAAAATACAATGTGCGAACTGGTTATTTCTTCCAAATCGTGTCTACCTTTACTCTGTCACTCCATGCAGAGTACACGAGCCGTGTGTTGACCTGGTTAACCTCCCTCATTTTCATCACTTCTTTTCTCTCTCTTCTTATTCAGTAAAAGTGCCAGAAATATAAAGGCTGTAAAGAAGCAGCACTAATGTGCCTGCTTCTTTGCAGACTAAGTCGTTTGGCTATAAGGATTATAGGAATGAATCTGATGTGGTCTCAAGTGTGACACTGAGACCGAATCACAGCACCTGTACCCTCAGCAGCAGAAGCTTGCAAGATGTGAAACACGTGGCGGAGTGGCGGAAAACTGCATTGCTGCGCTGCATACTATGATGTGCACCATGGTGTTGAGGTTATCGGCGATAGCTTCCGAGATTAAATTCAGCTGCAGCGCGTTGTCTAAACGCACTCTTGTTAATTGCCGAGACCACGTATGGTAGCCTCGACACCACACTCCGGCACACTCTCGTCCGCCTGCTTCTCGTCTGCCTTCGTGGCTGTGTCACTATCACCGATGAAGATGGAGATGTCTGTTGAACAGGCGGACTTGAAAAACTGTCAGCATGAATTCTTCTATAATCTAATAAGTCTAAAGCAGGAGTTCTCTAACTGGGTCCTACGAAACAGGAGTTTGCGTTTGTGTGAAAGGCATTTTGGGGTTCTGCCAACGATCACTGTAAATGCAATCCGTCCTCGAGACACAGAATATTGGCTGTTTAAAGTAACAGGTGTGTGAAGACGCTATGGGCAACAATGCTCGCATAACAAGCTTGGATGTTGTGCACATTGTCTGCGCATATGTGTGAGCACATATTATTCGCAAAAGCACAGCATGCTTTTATGTTTTCTTCCGAGACACGACTAAGGGCACAGCATGCTTTTGTGTTTTCTTCCGAGACACGACTAGACACGACTAATTCAATAAACTAAAGCTGTAAAGGTAAACTGTACCACAGGTATTGCAAAACACACTATACACAAGAATTGCAGGTATTATAGCCTCAGTTTGTAATTTATACATATCTCATAAAATGGGATTTGGTTGTGTGAAAAGGAAAATGCTATAGCGGTTCTGGTGAAAACAGTTATTCCTGTCTAGACTGGAAAAAGTGTGAATGCAGCATCCATGGGAACTCTTTGACAGGTTCTCTGGCAGATACGCTATGTATTTGTTGGAAGAATGCATGAAATTAGGAACACGTCTTGCTGTTCCAAAAATATGTTTTCACTTGCCGTGCTTTGTGCAAAAGTATTGTTAAAAAGGGAAATTAGGGGAATGGTTGAAAGTATAGAGATGGAGAGATCAATTGTGTCAAGTATTCACTGTACAGTCATATTGGTTGCAAAGTGTCCAAGGCGGTTTCACTCACAGAGTATGCACACTAACTCTTGCGACACGTGATGCTGAAGTTGTTAGTGTTTTGCATTTAGACTGGCGATCGCCGGTTTAATTCGCCAACCTCGGTAATTCGAACTCAGTAATTTTGAAATCCTGTCTAATTTGAAGAATTTTTGTGGTCCTGTATTTTGCAATGCAAGTTTGAGTGGCTAACTTAAAGCGGCAGTCAGCACTAGTCCGGTCATTTAAAAAAAAAATTGGGTCCTTTTTGTCCATTCCTTCTGATTTCGACACAAATCTGCAGAAATTACAGCCCTTAGGTGCCACAAGGCAATGCACTGGAGCGCTACTAATGCGTGACAAGTGAAGCATCCTAGCCTTGTATCTTCCAGTGCAAAAAAAAAAAAACATTACGACTGAAATGAGTGCATGTGGAAAAGGTATTCTTTACTGCAATATAGCGATAACACATGGGCATGTCGCATGCGACGCTGTGAGGAGCAGGTGACATGCTGCCCGCGTGTTATCACTTTGTTGCAGTAGAGCACATCTTGTTTGCAGGTGAGATTTGGGTGCCTACAAGACCACCTTTCTTTGGGGGGGAGGGGGGGAACCTGGCTGGCTGGCTGTCAGCAGTGAAGCCAGCTGTTCTCTCTTATTCGTGGCGAAATTGCGACCGGTTATTACTGGCAACACAACCCTTGGAGCCATGACTAGCCAGCACAGACCTGAACGACCACCTACGATACTTTCAATAATTCAGTCTCTTGCATCCCACTTATTGTATGTTTCGTTCACTGAAAAATCAGCTTAATTCAAGATCTTTTTTTCAGTCCCGGTGAGTTGGAAATAAACGAAGTTTTACTGTACATACGACGAAATTTTCAGTCTTTTTATGAAATGCTTCTTTCTTCAAATGCTTTCATCGTAGTGTGATTGAGCCCATGCTTTTTCTCTAGTACCATGGATAGCTGACCCAATAGCTATTAAAAGGTGAAAAGTAAGCAACCGTTTTCAGAAGTAATTTTTGAAGGTCTGCTATTGCTTTGAATGCACGCTGGCCTGGGCAGGTAGTTTGAGCTAGCTCAGCAACCACTGCTGGCATCTGAGAGCTAGAACAGCTCACAAAGGAATCATTCATTGAGTAAAGAAAACAAATGTATGGTTTAGTTAGACTTTAGTAAAGGGGCAAAAAAATGTGTGTTAGATGGTGCAAGTTTCTGATGGGTGTTCTGCGCAGGTGGTTGTGTTTGGCCATGGTGCGGGAGCCACATCAGCCCTGCTTCTCGCAACGTCGACAGAAACCAAGGGCCTCCTCAGTAGGGTCTGGGCCACAGGTGCATCTGTCAACTTCCCCAACCAGACAGTTGAGGAGGCTGCACGCAACAACCTCGAGTTTCTGGCGTAAGTAGATCCGTGACCTTACCATGCATTTGTTTGTTTCTAAAGGGGTCTTTCAACGTTTCTTTGACTGCCTTCTGTAGCCCTGGAGTTTGTGGTATTGAATACTGACATAATACTAGGGAATCATCAAAATCAGTGCATAAAAAGTCTTTAAAGTTGAAAACTCGAGCAGACGACGAGAAAAAAAATGTTTTCTGACACATTTTATTTCTCTAAAAATTTCATCTGTTACTTTCAATAACCGTGCACCTCTTATAGAGATAGTTTATGCTCACTATAATGGCCGGTGTACAACAGTGTTTCAGATAGGACAAACCATTGTTCAGCCTAAGTTTGGTCTGTCATAAAGTATTGGAGTGATGTTCGCTTTCAGTAGACCAAGATACAGTATACTATAAATTACAGCAGACAATATTGCAGCATATTTTTTAGATGTTCTGCACAATGTGTATCTTTGCCATGTTGACATAAGCTCACAACAGACTTGACCATACCACTATCTGCGCATTAAAGGCACGATAACAATAAATTGCACCTAGCAACATTGGAAGCTTTCTTCTAAGCCAAGCCTTCAGCTAAGCTTGTCTCTGAGCATGTGGTCATGTAAATGGTTCACGTGTTGCTCGTGACTGAAACGTGGCGCAAAGTGATTGCATCGTTACTTGAGGGTTCCGGCCAATCTCTTATCACAAATTTCTTTGAGTTAAGCGTAAATAAAAAAAATTTGGCGGATCCCACGTACAGTGGGAATTGATGATATGCGAAGCACGAATGGGAAATGTTGATATGTCACTTTAAAATCAGCACAACGTTATGAGGTGGAGGTAAATGATGTGTCGTTTACCTTTGTTAGCTATCCACGTCAGGTGACACCAATTGAGTATATGTGAAGCTAGCGAAACGACCGCGAGCATGCTATAAGCGTGGTATGTTGTCGTGTTCTTACATGACAGGCGTGTCAGGATTATTATGTTTGCACTAGTCATATATTTCGTCATCCATTGGCATCACGTAACACCGAATTCGGTATATGCGGAGCTAGCAAAATGACCGTGACCGCATCATGAAGGGCCCAATATTCTCCCATGTAGCGTCGACGCGCGTGCACACTGGGCACAGCGACGCTACTTTAGCAAAATGCGAGCACTCTATAGTCTGACGCCAGGCGCAACCAGTCAGAAATGCGACATGCTACGTTTCGCGCGAATGCGTTACCCAGACAACACTGCGTCTCCCTGTTTTCGTGGCGGAGGAACACCGGACGCGCAGAAACACACATGTATCAAAGCAACGCGGCGTGGCGCACGCCTTTGAGTATATTGCAGGACCGACGCTTGGCATGGCAACGCCAACATGACGCGAAGAAATGAATGCCAATGACCACGCGGGTCCCAAAAGTGTGTTTTTGTAATGAATACCTGTCTTATGTTGCATAAACTTTCAAGTTTTCAAAGCCCACACTGCTGAGCAAAATACGAACAATCATTTACGGACTTCAGAAATATGAACTCATTTTACCAGATTGTCATGGTCTATTGTAACAAGAGTAGACTATACTGGAACTTTCACTGTCACGGTAGCTATTGCACAGCACACCCACTGTCGAGTTGCGGATGTTTTCAAAATGTTGATATAGAACAGCTGCCGTAAGGAATTTCCATTTCAGCTGCCTGTGCTTAAGCTACGCGAGGAAACAGGACTGTGTCCCACTTTACAGTGCTTCGTAATACTGTATACACGCGTGTAAGGGCCGCACCGTGTAAGGGCCGCATCCCGTTTTAAGAAGCACATATTCAAAAAAAAAAAAAAAAAAAGTTGTGTGTAAGGGCCGCATCCGCACTTTCCTTGACCCATGCGTATTCAAAATGCGCGCGCGTGTGTGAGCTACTAGCGTTGTCAGTAGATGGCGCTAGAGAACGCAATTCTCATCATCACCATATAGTACATCATTAGAATAATTTGTTGGTTTTCTTCATGCTAATATGTTCATGAAGTTGGCGAGAAATTTTTAGTTTTTTTAGTAGTGTTCATACACCCGCCAACTAAAGGTTAAAGCAGGATTTTATCTTTAACTTCTCACACTTCTATACAAACGCGCTATCCATATCGGCATTAGCATCACCAATTTTGGTGTTTGTGCGTTGTTCGGTCATTGTGCTGTTCAGCCTGCCATGTGCTCGAGTTTTGCGCACCGTTGAATGACTCTGGGACTCCAGCTAGTTTTCTGCGGGACGTTTACGTTTTCGCACGATGGGCAAGCAGCTGAATAGCTATACAGCTGGCTATAAGTTGAAGGTGATCGAGTTTGCCCTCGAGCACGGGAAACGGGCCGCCGGCAGAAAATTCGACGTTGACGAGAAGTGTGTTCGACGTTGGTGTGCCCAGAAGAAAGCCTTGCAGAACACCATTATCAAAAAGCGCGCTTTCCGAGGAAAACAGTGCAAGTATCCCGATTTGGAAGAGGAGTTGCTCCGCTATGTGACTGAGGTGCGGAACGATGGTTTTGCGCTCACTACAGACATGCTGCGCATGAAGGCACTAGCCTTGGCACGTGCGAAAAATATACCGGCCGGGGATTTCAAGGCTAGTGCTGGCTGGATGCGAAGGTTTATGAAAAGAAAGGGACTCTCTTTTCGGCGAAGGACCACGCTGTGCCAGCGGCTGCCAGAAGACTATACCCACAAGGTGCTTAGTTTTCACAAGCATGTCATCGGCCTGCGCCATCAGCACAGTTATTTGTTGTCGCAAATAGCGAACGCTGATCAAACTCCTGTGTGGTTGACTCTCCCGAGAACTACACAGTCGAAGTAAAAGGCAAGAAGAGTGTCGCCGTGCGGACCACCGGCGCTGAGCGCCAACGCTGCACCGTGATGCTTTGTGTGACCGCGGACGGGCGGAAGCTACCCCCGTACGTTGTTTTGAAAAGGAAAAGAATTCCGAACGAAGTTTTCCCCAAGGGCATCATAGTTAGAGCCCAAGAGAAGGGATGGATGAACGATGATTTGGTGCTAGACTGGGTGAAAAGTGTTTGGCAGAACAGACCGGGAGCTTTGTTGGCCAAACATTCACTTTTAGTATTGGATAGTTTCCGCGGCCACCTTACCGATAAGGTGAAGGAGCAGCTGCGCCGTGTCGGCACAGACATGGCCGTGATTCCAGGCGGCCTCACAGGAATGTTGCAACCATTGGATGTGAGCGTGAATAGACCATTCAAAGTTGAATTCCGAAGACTCTACACGGAATGGATGGCAACCGGCAACCGTGAGCACACGCCGACCGGACGGCTGAAGAGGACACCGCTTGCTACTGTTTTCGGTTGGATATTGTCGGCGTGGAGCTCGGTGTCGACGGACATTGTGTCCCGAAGTTTTAAGGTCACTGGGATATCCAACAGCCTGGATGGCACCGAAGATGACTGTTTGTGGAATGATGGTGCTCCGCAACACACTATCTCGGACTCTGAGTTAGAGGACTCGTCGAGTGACGACGATTAAGCGCTACGTGGCATACTGCAATAAACGCTCTTCGTTCACTAACTGGTACGTTGTTTTTAGTTCGCCAAAAAAAAAGTTCCGTGTATGGGCCGCAACCTGAAAATTAGCCCTCACTTCCTGAAAAAAAGTGCGGCCCTTACACGCGTTTATACGGTAAATTCTGCAACCATTACATTCTCCTTTACCAACCCCTTAAAGAGCAGATGTGCCACTTTTCGAATGTCTTGATCATGCCTCATATTTTTCTCAACTCGTAATTTGCCCTGCTGTGCCACAATCCTCAGCGGAAATTCAACTGATATCAGTGGTCATGCAATAGATGTTCTGTTAGCACCATGCCAGTGTGGACAAGGCTGAGTTGTAGCATACGCCAGCAGACTTCTGTCACCCACTGAGCATAATTATTTAGTCACAGTTATGTGGGCAGTCAAGAGGTTTCATTCGTATAAAAGCGAATTCCAAATCTGTCTCATCACGTTTTATGTTGGCTATTTTAACTCGAAGACCACACAGGGCGGCTCACACAATGTACTTCCCTCTGCAAGAATATCCATTTTTCATCGTATATGAGACAGGACAGTAAACAAGAAAGAAAATTGTTTAACCTATTACCCCGTGGAAGAACTCACCAAATCCTGATGCCACCACTCGCATTTTCTCTGTGTTGCAGTTGCTTCGTGTTGGCAATTAGGAATTGCATAATTCTTCATTGTGGGACAATACATTTGATTCGAAGAGAAGTTGTATGAATGTGCTGGCCCAGTACATTTGCTTATTTCCACAATGTAACAGGGGATACAGGCTCTTGTGTATTAGTGTTTCTTAAAATTGTTGGGTAATGCTGAGAAAGATGTGCATTTTTATGAGCATGTGGTATTGCATTCTTGAGTTATAACTGTATTCTGTCAGTGACTTACACAACACACACACAGCATCGTTGAGCTCATCAGTAGATATATGTAGCATTAACAGCAAGTGTGTGACCTTGCATTTTGATATTTGTGTTGCTTTCATGGCATTTAGTAGTGTGGCATTCTGAACTAATGATGATGTTCCGTGAAATGGACGCAGTTAACTACTCTTTACAATGTCCAAATCTCACAACCTGCACTTACATGAACACTGATTTCCAGAACCGTCCCATGGGGCTTGGAATATGACCTAACTGCATTGAGGGAGATGCACAATATAAATCCATCGTTATTGTGATCATAAATTGATGTATTAGTTTTACGCAAGGTTCGATCCAGCAGCAGTATCCTGCACGTCTAAAAACAAAATGCAACCATCCAGTGGTGCAATAGCGTGCAAGACTGGGCTAGTCAGTTGGTTTTTATATTAAAAGCTGCGCAAGAAGACGATGACACAAGAAGGACACAGGACAAGCATTGAAATTACAACAGTCGGGTTTGTTGCATAGAAAGGAATATACACACGTAGTCCGACTACATGCATCATCACATTACGGATACTTGTCACTTTTTTCCAGCAGGCTGAATTTGCAATTGCGTAAATGGATGGATGGAATGGAAATGGAAACATTATGGTTGTTCTTAATCTTGGTGGTTCTTATTAATGCCATGCTTTCATGGGCTTTCACATCGTCTGAAGAAGATTGCAAAAAACTATGATATCAATGTTGTTTTCTCTGCTCTTGGTAAAGTTTGGAGAGCGTGTGCCATGATGGATGGGAGGGAAAATGTATGGTCACAAAAAAATGTGTGCTGCATGAATCATCGCACTTGTTTTGTAACCTCTGCATCGTGTAGTACGTGACGTCCGCTAACTTAATTGTGGCAAAAGATATACTGGACAGTCTGGTGCCTGTCTTAGCGAGAGGCTACACCAGCACAACATATTAAAGGCACACCTACTTAACATTTGTCATCTCATTGTGGCTCCTGTTGTTAACCTTTGTTTCATTCTTCAAGTGCGGTCTTTGGGCACATTGACCAAAGGTACACGTAAAATTATAGAAGCTTTTTGCATTATAAACAACCTTGATGTTTGCATTTCCACCTATATGTCCATCTCCATAATTGTGAATTCAGCCGGCTCGAAAGATGTGGCTATTATTTCTAATGTGATGGTACACGTAGTTACTTGCATTTTTTGCTCTCTGTACAGTGAATCCAACATTTGTTAGTTCGGTGCTTGTCCTGTGTTATTCTTCTAGTATTATTGTCTTCTTGTGCTGCTTTACCATGAAGATTCAGCAGCCCCAAAGGGAAGACATTGCTCCTCGGCTATACAGTTAAGCATGCTTATAACGAACCTTTATATAACTAATTCCTCGATATAACGAAGTTTTTTTATTCCCCCTTCCCATTACTCCATAAAAGTAAATGTATTTACGACCTCTATGCAACAAAGTAACAGCGGATCCCGACATCCTTGATATAAAAAATTTTCGCCACGGACAATCTAGGAATTTTGCCCGAATTTTGTCATTTTGGCACGAGCATGCATCTTCTGCCGTTGCCCCACTGCCGACGATGTGTGCACGGCACGCTTGTGGCCCTGGCAACTTTCAGGTGAGCACACGAGATGGGCAGTCAAGCCTGCACCCCAAAAGCCGGCGTTGCTGCCGTTCTGGCCGCCGCGGGCGAATGCGCGAATTTGTCCTCCCCCTGCCTCAAAAAAAAAAAATGTACTTTTGCATTGTCAGTGCCAGTTTTAGTTATTGTCACGAATGTTGGGTCCTGCTGCATGTGGAGGGCACTTTACCAAATAGTTTTCCGTAATATCCGTGTCGTACGCTCTTCGTTTTCGACGCTGTGCATGATTTCACTGCACGTGCATAGTGTGGCCCCCGACGACATTCAGCGTTGCCTTTTTTTTTTTTTTAATTTTAGATACGGGCTCTGGCAACAACACGACGGTGCGTTGAATGCAATGCAATGATTGCTGTAGCAAAAAAAGTGTAATGTTATATGAAGTAAGGCTGACAATCGACTCTTAGATACGATATCGCAGAACTCCTACAAAAGGTAGGTGTAAGCAAATACAGCCATTCCTGGAGAAGTGCTTTTTTACACAGTCTCTTCACACTGAAAGCGCACTGATGCTTGCCTAGATAGCACGTGCGCCAGCGATCGGGACCATGCCCTTAAAATCAAAGTTCACCCTGTTGCTACTCGAGCGACCCCCCCCCCCCCCACCCCTGCATTTTTTTTCATGCTCGTTCGGCAGTTTTAATACGTGGGGGGATGTTATCCTATGTGCTTTCCAGCCGATAGACAAGAAGGGCCGGCTCGTTTGATCTCTGCTTCAACAGAGCTCGTGCGCTTTTACTCGCTTTATATGTTACAATGCACGGGGGCATCTTAGCAATTTAGACTTGTTACGGAATATGGTGGCAATGGCAAAAGCCACGGAGAGTGTCCATATAATTTCTATCGCAATAATAACACATTTTTTACCACCAAATAGGTGTTCTTGGTTAGCGCTGCCTTCAATTACCCTTCTGTATAAATTTGTGCGTGTATTTTTCGAATTTTCGTACCGAACCTGCATATAACAGAAAGCTCTTTATAGCGAATATTTCTGGGAATTTGTTGATTTCGTTATATCCAGGGTTAGCTGTATTTATAAATAAGTTCTGGAGTCCTCACCCATGCAGGGCAAATGCATTGGTGCTCCCATGACTGATGCCAACTTAGGTATGTGTAGCCAGTGCACGAAAATACCTCTCTTGCTTTTCTTTTCATAGAGATCACTGGCTTGTAATATAAGCTGTTTATATGCTCTGTCAATGGATCTACATCTTGGCCCTGTCACAATATGTTCACTTTTTAATGCAGGAACATCAACTGTACCAGCCTCACCTGCCTTCACCAGAAGACAGCCGACGAAGTAATAGCAGCTGTGCCCATGTCGTGGTACGATGACGTGTCTGCACAGTTGCCACGCAAGCAAGAAATGACAGCACCAAGTCTGGTTGTCGTTGATGGTGAGAACTATTGCACATTACTGTTGGCTCTTTTTAAAACAAATGCGTGAGGACTCGAAACAATGCATGACAGTGTTTGTTCGAGCACATGCTCAGAAGCCTTTAATGTCAGCATACGTTTAACTTGTATACCGCACATGGGGCTAAACAGAACAAAGCAAAGTGCCACCGTGTCGTTTACATGCTGGCCACTTCACAAAATGACAAAGTTCTGGTGCTGTAACTGCCATTGCCACATCGGTAAATTTGAAGTGGGACGATTATGAAGGGAGAACAAAGAATTCATATTTTGGTGACGGAATTTAGATATATGATGACCATGCGGATCAATTGAGTATACAGTCGAACACAGATATATCGAATTGTCGGATATATCAAACTCATAAGTTATTCCTTTGAAATTCCCTTGTTAAAGTATAGAAATTTGCTCGCTTATATCAAACGGCATTTTTACCCGCCTTCAGATATATAGAGTGCTGCGCGAACTGGAAGGTGCGCTTCGGCACTCGCTGCGCCCCACGATATCTGCGCCAGCGCGGCTCCGCGCGCGAATGGAAGGTGCGTTTTGGCACTCGCAGCACCCAGCAACCTCCGCGTGGCACCACGTATCCGCAAAAACTCGAAACGCTCGAAAAGAAAAAGTAAGGGCGAGAAAGCTTGGACTGCACTATCTCTAACTTGCGAAATGGCTTTCTTCCCCCTTTTTTTTTCGTTTCTCTTTCTATCTCTCCTTCTTTCTCCGCGTACCCATCTGCAGGAACGATGAAGCTGACGTCCTCCTCCTTTCTCCTTTTCTTTTACTTTTTTGTTGCTGTTTTGCGAGTTTTGATCAGCCAACCACAGCTCGCTCTTTTTGTTGTTGTCTCAGAGAACATCTCACAGGTGGCCATCCTGTGGTGCCCATCGCCTTGCGAGCGCTGTGTGCTTCCGTTCACGCATTGCTTAGGTACCACCGCATGTGCAGCATTTCTCTTTTGCGTGCGTGGTGCGCAAAGCTGCTGCGGACTCCTTGAATTGTCGACTTTTCGTGTAGCTATGGCCAGCATCAAGAAGCGCAAGACCCTTGACAAAGTTGAAGGCTATTCAGCATGTTAAGGCGGCCGACAAATGTTCGACCGTCGTGGGCAACTTTGGGATACCGTGGAGCACCTTGTAAGCAAATATCAAGGCAAAGGCGGCAGAGCAGTGAACTTCGGTAGCCTGTCATGTGCGCGCTCCTGCCCACGGGAATATAGAAAAGGCACTCTATGCCTGGTTCTTAGAATTGCACGTGAAGAACATCTCCGGTGGATGGCACGATGCTGATGGTTTGCTGCTACACTCGGCGAAACGACTTGCCGACAACACCGGGTGGCTTCACCGATATAAGTAGCGCTACAACATCGTTGAAAAAACCATTTTCGGCGAAAGCAAAGCTGTCAGCAGCCAGGGAATCCAGCAGTGGATGACGAAGGAGTGGCCGGAAATCTCCACTATGTTTTCCCCCGCGGAGATCTTCAACTGCTGGCGAGATGTGAAGACGGACACAGTGGTCAACTGCTCCACGAGGCAGGCTTCGAGACGGGGAAACTTGTGGGAACCGGTGAAGGCGACGACGACGAGCGCATAGACGACTCATTTCGCAAGTAGTCGTTCCGCTTCCCAGCAGCAGTTCCACACGAAGTGTCTGCGGACAATTTCGTGGAAGCGGACTGCATAGTCCAAGCCGTTGTGAGCCTCGCTGACAAGGATATAATAGCTGCGATAGCAGGGACTCAGGATGCCTAGGACGACAGCTCATGTGACGAGGAGCATCATGCGGGCGAGGCGCTGGCTACACGCGCGAACTCCGCCACTGAAGTGGCGGCAGTGTTTTGCGACATTCGTCGTTGTATCGGCCACATGAAGGAAACCGGGCTGTCGCACCTGGACAGCCTTGATAATGTCACGAGGTCGTGACGTGAATGAAGGGAGCAGACTCCAGGTCAAAGAAGAAACTTTGTTCGGACTGAACTTGTGGCCACGCAAAAGGAAAGTAAGACACTGGCACTTATAGCGGCAAAGAGAGCGTCGGTCGTCGATCAGCTGGCAATCGGCGAATCGTGTCGGCATTTTATACACCTGCCATCGAATATTCTAGTGTTATCACTAGCGGCGACGTATGTTCCAGAATAATCTGTAATGTTCACAAAGTGGACGTAATCTTAACAAAATGATCTTTTGCCATCCCAAAGTTTCTCTAACAGTGTAGGCGTGGTTTGCGCTGCGAATTATTGGCAGTGAAATGATGCGATAACAAAACTTGAGGACGGAACGTGGAATTAAGATCGAGACTAGCATCTTCAACATTTCGAATACGAAGCAGGTCAAGATAAGTGATTTTTTTCACGCAAATAAATCCTTCTTTTGCGGCGTGTGTGCCAAAGTAGTTGTCATTCTTGAATGTGCCTGTTGTAGGTGATGATCCGCTACAGGTGAGCTCTCGGGGCCTGTATTTTTTATATCGAATTTTCCATAAATCGAACTAATTTGCAATCTCCTTTGAGTTCGATATATTAATGTTCAACGGTATTGTTCTTATTACTGTTATCCAGTTTCTACTTTTTGGGTTCTCACACACTACAAGTAAAAAAAGCAAATCTTCTTTCTTTTTTTCTCCCCCAGGAGTCTTCATCAAAGATTTTGTCTATGAGCTGTGGGCATCTGAGAACTTCACCCGAGTTCCTGTTGTAATTGGTGAGTGCTTTTTATTTAGATTTGTGTGTGGGATGCATAGGCATGCCACTTGCTCATTCACACTAGCAATTAACAGAGTTTGCGCTAGTGATTTGGACTGAGTGCCAAGCAGCTAATCAGGTTGACTTCTATTTGCACACCTTGTGCCATCAGCCTGTTTTCATGCCATGAACACCTCGCGATTGGTGCTTATCAAGTCTGCTTGCACTGCAGTCACCTCTCGTGAAATGAGCTAGCATCCTGTTCCTCTGCGAAGATGAGCAGTGAGCGATTGAGCTAAAAAAATTATTTTTTAGTTTTGTTCTTTATCAGTGACCATGCATGACTATCGTAGTTGTGAGACTTCTGTGATTTGCCGATGTCAGTGAGCCTTTATCATTAAAATATAAGGCACGGCAACCAAACTGAGGTTGAATGCATTACGTTTGATAGTTTGCCATATCTCTGTGCATTTATTACTGAAAAAAATAAAAGCGGCATGTGCATTAAGGCTCCCTTTTTTGGCGTAGGTTCCAACCTGCAGGAGTTTGCCTCTCGAAGGGTGCTCCCTGAGGCAGACCAAGTGGACAGCGCAGAGCTCAGCTCTTACGTCAGGGACCGGCTGGGGACCATTGACCCCAAGTTGGCTGACAAGGTGCTGCAGATGTATGTGCACAACGACACAATGCCAGCAGAGCAGCTGCACACAATGGTAAGGGCAGCATCCTTAGTCAGTGCAATCTTGAAGCCATCAAGTGTCTGTGCCCAGAACAGGAGACTAGTCGAGCCTGTTTATAACGAACATGATCCTGACGCAGAATTCGTTCGCTGTATCCTGAAGTTCGTAGTAAATGAGACACCGCATTTAAAAAAAGCTGCGAGTGAAAACACAAACTTTTTTTTGCCTAAAAAAGTCCGTGATGCAAGCGGTTCAAAGCACAGAAGCGATAAGGACGGTCTCTAGTTTATTTCAAACAGCAGCGTGTTTGTTCGACGAGGCCCGTGGCATAAGCTGCATGAGGGACGGGCTCCAAAGTTTCATCGTTTTCGCAATTCGATTCCTCCAAATCTTTCTTGCCCCGTACTTCATTCACAATGCCCTAATCCGTGCACGGTCCCGCGGTGTCGGCATCATCATCGGCTGTAATGAAACCATTGCAGCAGATATCCCACCTACTCTCCCATGTCTGAGTCGACGGCACGCTGCCACAAATCGTCCCTGAAGGGATCCTGTTCGGAAGCTTCAGGCTCGGTATCAGGCCCGACATCGACGAAGTCGGCCTCGCGAAAACAGTTCCACGCACATGTAGCCGTCACCGCCGGCCACAAAATATTCACCATCCTTACAACCAAATACCAGGACGGCCGAAGCGACAAGTTGGCTGCCAAGTGGTCAATAGCTATGAGCCAGCGCTCCGCAACGCGGCAATAACGTGCAGATTACGCTCAAGCCAAGCGGTCACACTTTCGACGTTTTGTTGAGCAGCAGGAAAAAGCGTGCAAGTCCTCCCGTCTGCCATCCTGATCACACAAGCACGCCAAGGCGAGCAAGACGCGACACGCATGCCAGAATGCGCGGCACAGCTCTGGGCCCGTTTCTAGTCAGAAAGCGAAACTAACTCGCGCCAGCGTGGCTGGCGTCGCGGAGCGATGAAAACGGGCGAAGAGGTTGGGATCAAGAGAGGAGAGCGGACTTGCAAGAGAAGGGCAAGGAGTTGTGATAGAGGGAAGAGAGGGGAGGATATGGGGAAAGGACGACCTTGAAAACCAAAACACAGGGGAAGGGGAAGTAGGCAGGTCGGATAGCTTGCTTGAAGGGTCCACGAAACGTGCCACTCACATGTAGTTAAGCTTGAAAGAGTGCCTGCGCGTGCAGAGGTCAAAGCACAGTCACTTGGATCTGCATGCGCGGCGGTGTTCAAAGAATCAGCGGCCGTGGTCAAAAATTGTTTGTTGCACCAGAGGGCTTGCGTGGGCTCACCGACTTCGATATTTCGCGATTCGTTTCGTGCAAATTACTAGCCGTTTTCTTGCTTCCGCATGTGTGCGGAGGGCATGCTGAGCGGAGTGCGAAATGAGCGAAAACAGGCCCTAAACACGAAACGAATCGCAAACAATCAGAATCGATGAGGTAGTCTACGCACATGCACTAGAGGCAGACGATCGGTTAGAGTCGGTGGCTGACGATGTAGGGAAATTTTCTGGTCACTCCAGGTCGATGATGCCAACGACAGTACCAGCGACCAAAAACAGGAGAGATGGCGGACCGGTCTTCGAAAGATCAGTGGCAGTGTGAAAACACAGGCCTCATCTGGCGATGCAAGGTGCTCAGAGTAGCGGGGGCACAAAAGACGGAGGAGTGTGTAACAAAAAGCGGTCGGGGAGAGCGGCAACTAGAGGGGCCCGGAGGCAGGGTCGGCATTTAACAATAAGAATGTATGGGCACCTCGCCGATGCCTGATCGGTGGTTGAAAGTGGTTTCCCGGGAAGTCGGAAGAGTGCCGACCCCGTTCACTGTAATCGATCGGCGGTGCTCGGAGACGTTCGTTGTAAGTGCAATTTTGTGCCGCTAAACCAATAATATATTCACGGTCATGTGGATATTGTTCATATTAAGCGAAAGTTTGTTTCAAGTGGGACAGTTATATGTGGGCTCGGCTGTATGTTTTATCATAAGTATGCGCTCAGTCTTGCTTTGGGAAGGGGAGGGGGTGTCACTATAGGCTGACCATGCAACTCCTTTCCTCATAGATTTAGTGCCATACGCAGGAAATATAGCCAACTGCTTTCCTAAGATGGTATCAGTTGTGCGTACTGTACATATTTTCAAGGCTCTTCATCATTTCAACTGAGATACAGTGTAAACCACTTAGATACCTGCAAAGTCTCCCAGATTGTGACCATTTCTTTCGTTTGTACGGTTGTCATGACAATCTTCTGGAAATAGAAATTTCTGTGCGTGATCTGGCGGCAATGACAAAAATGCAGGTCAGCCTACTCCAGGCTTTTTGCGAATTCACCGCATTTTATTATAAATGAATTAAGGAGGCGTTAGTCTGAATGTACAGTAGAATCTGTGATGCGAAATTGCGGCAGATACGAATTCATGAAATTCCCCAGCCGAATTCCACTGTGTCTGTTGGGCCGAAATTCCTAATCGCGGCGTGTGATATGAACTTTAGTACCGAAATTGTCGAACGAAGGCTGTCGAGAGCAGCATGCTCGAAGCTTCAAAAATAAGTGGGGGATCAGCGCACGTGTGGTTGTTGCCATAACCGCTGTGGACGAAATTGCGGTCATTTTGACACGATAATGTATGGCGACGACGTTACTGACAGGACTCCGAAAGTGTGCATATGTCCAACGCTCGACCAGTCAAAGCAACGCTGCTTTCCGCAAACTTGTCGACAATACAGCCGCAGATGCGATCATAGATAGCATAGAACGACTTAGTTTTGAAGGCACGTGCGCAGCCAACGCACACAGGCTGAGAACGGAACTACAGTTTGCCATAATCGTCATGCAGAAAATCGCGGTCGCGATGACACGATAGCGATCTACTAGCTCCTAGGGCACGTTTAACGCAATGGTAGATTAAAGGCAGTAAAGACGTAAGGAAAAAAAATGGCTAGAAGCGTTTTGGCGTTCCTGTCCAAAAAATATAGTAGCGAGCAAAGCCAAAGCTTTGACCACCGTTTTCACAGCAGCCAGCTGCGCCAGTCCTGTAGGTTCACGTGTGACCCAGGAAGACATATGCAAGTTGTTTGGACAGAATAGATTTTGCTAGTTGTTCTTATGAAGCGAAATTTTGGGAGTATTTACAGCTCCCCTTTTGAGAGATTCGCCTTGGGGGAAACCTACTTCGTGTGTTCGGTCACTCCAAACCATCATAAGACTTCAACACCTATGTTGGCGTTCGCCATTTGAACCCTACCCTCCTCCCCCTCGCCCCCCCCCCTTTTCTTGAGCAAGTTTTTTGTTGTTGTTGTTTGTTTTGTTGTTTGGGTGCCATGAAAAATGGTGAAAAATATTCAGCGCATTGTCTATCATTCCAATGAAAATAGTTGGAGGGGCAGTGGCGTCAAAGTAGATTACGGCAGTTCGTCAGTACTTTCGCTGTCTCGAAACTTTGAAGAATTTTTCATCGTGCACAGTATTAGCAACTATATTAACGGGGAGAAACGTGATGGTTGAACTCATATAAAAGAGGTAACGGCGTTTGTAAACTGAAAGCTACAGCAAATAGGCAATTGCTGTACATTTTGCGATTGGGCACTGGTTTACCGAGACGACTATGTGTAATGCGAAATCAGTGGAGCTTGCTAGCTTAATACAAACACTGTCAACAATACTGTACCGTGTGTCCTGAAAGTGTTTTTATTCAGCTGATGTCTGTCGACCTCTCGTCACCGCTCAGTGTCAATTTATGCTGCGTCATCACCTGAAGCTGTTTACACGTGCAAGTCTTGCAAACAACACCCACCAATAAGGTAGGAGGCTGAGGTGTTGCAATGCTAGGATCTAAGTCAAAGAGGACACTCACGAAAGCATTTACGCCTTTCTCATCAGCCACGGGCGTACGCCACCCTCTTCCTCATATTGAAGAGACAGAGCTCTACAAAATTGATACATTAATAGAACAGGATTGAAAAGGGTCCTGAGCCTCCCTCGCACAGTGTACGGAACGATTCCTTTAATGAGCCTGCACAATACAACTACTGAACTCTTTGAGGCACAGCGGCATGCCCCAGATTAGTCAGCTCTTATTCTCAAGGGCGGGCAACGAGATATTTTTAGAAGCTGGCCTTCAGCCCCTCTTCTCTCATGCCGCCTGAGAAGTCCCAACTTTGCACACACAACCCATGAAAGCGATAACAGTTGAACCGATTCCCAGAAACACACCCGACCCATAATGAAAGATGAAGAAAGCGGAGCCGAGGCCATACTTGCCAAGTATTGCGCAATGATATGCCGATCCTCTTCGTTGATGCTGCAAAATAGTGGAATCGGGTGCCTACGCAGTCTCTGTGTTGACGATGCCCATAGCTCGCTCGTCAATGCAGCCACGGTAGTTACCAACTTCATCCACGAAGCGGAGGAAATGGCTATTGCGCTAGCCCTTCGAAGCTGCACGGGAGCTTGTTCGATTTACGATCAGACTCTAGAACAGCTATAGGAACTTTTTCGGTGGCCCTGGTCTCTTCGAAGGCAGCTACGGTTGTTAACAGGCTCTTCAACCACGAGGCGAAGGAGAAAAATTTCCCATCCTCACACATCGCATAGTTCCCCGGCTCACATGAGAAACATTTCCAGCTTTCCCTGTCTGCAACCCAAACGAGCAGGCACACCAACTGGTGCGCGAACGCACTTTTCGCGTCTGCGCTCTGCCCCCTCGCTTCAATGCAGCCTGCAGGAACCTCGACCACAAAGAGCTGCTCATATCATATCACGAATTCACCTCTCATCATAGATTAGAACAGCCCCGCCACGGTGGTCTAGTGGCTAAGGTCCTCGGCTGCTGACCCGCAGGTCGCGGGATCAAATCCCGGCTGTGGCGGCTGCATTTTCGATGGAGGCGGAAAATGTTGTAGGCCCGTGTACTCAGATTTGGGTGCACGTTAAAGAACCCCAGGTGGTCAAAATTTCCGGAGCCCTCCACTACGGCCGGTCTTTCATAATCAGATGGTGTTTTGGGACGTTATAACCCCACAA